ATGTTTTTGAGCCGTTATCCAGCCGAAAAAATGAGAGAGTTTAGTCAAGTGAGTCCTTATCCAGTTGAAGTAAAAGACTCATCTATTGAATGAATCCTTATCCAAAGGATGAATTGAGACCTAATCCAGTTGATGCAATGAGAAAGTTCATTTTGAACGAATTCTTATACAGATGAAGAAATGAGAGAGTTCTATTGAATGAGTCCTTATTCAGAGAGAGCTACTAATGCATGTTTCACCACAAAACACAGAGCCTAGATTTGATTCCAAAGCAAAGTAAAGTCCTCTTGGAGCAACACGAATTGGATCCAAATAAGTTCGCATCCAGAGCAGTTATCAAACTAATTCGTGCATCGATTGCACCCACACCAATATAGCAATCAAACGCCAAAACCTAATCCTTTTGTCATCCTTCTGGTAAACAGCCGGTCGTTTTTTATTCCAACGTGTATGCACACATTACATTCGCCAGCCGGCCAACCGGTTTTCTTCGGACGATTCCTCCGAATTCTTCGTCACCGTCGACGGGAAGGCGGAGAGCCGGAGCGCGCCGGGCCGGGAGGTTCTCGCGTCGATTCCGCGCCGACGGAGTCAGTTTCTACGGCAGCGCAGCGCCGAGCGGAGGATCGAGTTTCTGAATTTCCGAAGTAAAGTTCTTTGGGGAAAGTTTGATAGTCCAGTCGGGCGTGCGGTTGATTTTTTTCCGAAGTATTTCCGAAGTATAGTGCAGGAGAAATGGCCAATAACAGAGCTACGAAGAGCGGGTTCGCCGCGGAGGCGCAACGGAAGGTATCGTATTCGATGAAAACCGTACTAACTTTGGAATTTGGGTGTTTAAAAAAATATATATTTGCTTTGTATCGTTTGTGATTTAATCAGTATTGCAGGTTTTTTTTTATAATACCTACATCGGCGGTTTCGTTATCAGTAGGTACGCGCGAATAGGACGGACGTAAAATTCGCATTGTATTAAAAGGTAAAAATCTGCGCGATTATTTCGAACAGATGTTACAGTTGTTATCCCTAGGAGGTGCTGTTGCCCTTGACCCGCATCGTCGGAAAGGTGCACTTACCTTTCGAAAATTCATTCGGAGGATTTGTTATTCTCGAGGATATTTTAATAAGACTTTACCAGACTCGGTATTACATTTTTTATTCTCAAATGGGTATGCCAAATATTTTTCTTATAGCAAAAAATGTATTTAAAGCCGGTATTTTTCACCTCTAGATAAGTGTTTAGTATTCATTTGTACATTGGATACTTCGGAGATTGATAAGAAGAGTGAAAATATACAATTTTGGAATTTTTCACGCTTTTCTTTTGGCATTTTAATACGTAAATACATATGCATGACACGGTGTCACAAACCTCATTAGCGAGATTAAACGAGTAATTTACATAAAATGGAATATTAGAATACGGACAAAGTCGTTTAAATGCGACCGTAAATTGCTTTATTATCGTTAAAATTCGTTTGTATCCGAGCAAATTTGAACGTGCTGCAAAAAAATATATAAATTCAATTTTGTTTTAGAATCACTTATCGATAAGTCATTACACTTTGTTCGATCACGTTTTATTTTTAATTATTACCTAAATGTTTTCGGAATATGATAATATCGAGTCAACATCTTCTCATTCACAGTCAATTTATTTCTTAAGTACCTCTCAACTATCAAATGAGATTTTATAACTTTATTTAGCTAAAGGCTAGACAAAAATATCAACAAAGTTGAATAAGTTCAATAGACTAAATTACGGAAAAATCCATCGACTTTTCGACACTAAAATCAATTTATGCGAGACTTCCATCCGCCTATCTAACCGAGATTTTCTCTTCACCTCCTCTCGCAATGTAGGTCAAGTTCCGGGCAAATCAATAAAGTTGCATCACAGCTGCCCTAACTATTTTACAATCGAATAAAACTTTAAAACACGGTTCCTCCATCCACATTATATCACCACGCTCGCTTTTTTTACTACAACAAACATTAATTTCAATTGTAATTCGGTCGCTCGTTTGTTCAATAAACACTTTGTATAACAATAAATATCTAGGCCAATGGGCAATTTGCTTGCATCATTGTATACATGGAAACGTGTCGTTCGAAATTTCTATTATTCAATACTACAGAAAGGGTTAAAGGGTATTAGTTAAAAGTCATTAGTTAAGGGTATTAGTTAGATGTCATTAGTTAAGGGTATTAGTGTCTTAATTTTCCACTTTGCCGAGACCCATGAGATTAATAGAATTGAATAGAGAAAAAACCTGAGGCAGGTATATAAAAATGTTGGTTGTGGATGTGGCTATTTCCGTTGTTTGCCGGTTGAATACTAGTTAGTTATGATATTTGAATAAATTATACCGTCTGTTGGCGACTCTTGGAAACCTACAAAGTACTTCACCCATGACACGCCCGCTCTGTTATTAATGTAATGTGTAAGGTCTCGCGTTCAAGGACGTAGCCCGAGGGGTGGTCGAGGGTCAGTAAACAACCATTAAAAGCCCCGTGTTTGCTGATAATTTTCTTTCGCGAAAACGTAAATTGTACAGGATGTCCCGGAGTCGAGCAGGAGTGGTATCAATTGCGGTGATATGTCGAAGGAAATAATAAAAAAGAAAATTGCTTTATGATGTTTCTCGTGTGGAACAAGCGAATGATTTTTCTATAATGAGCTTGCTAATTGTCGGTCAAACTTTACGATTTGCATTGGTTAATTACATAAAAGAACTACTTGGCGAAAATGCTTTACAACTTTCGTAGTTGCATTAGGTTAATTAGGTTCAATTATCTAGGAATGTTGAATATACTGGATTGGATAATTAATCGCAACATTTATACGAGAATGATTCAATCCCTTGTAAATATTCAAACTACGCCATTGCGGTGGCTTCAGCTAATTAAATCGGTATTTTCCCACAGAATTCCCGGTTCAAAGAGCGTTAAAAAACACGAATTTTATTAATTTAATCCGATTATAACATCCTGAATTAAATTGTGTCTAACACATCGGTTATCTGGTTAACTTTCCTGTGGAAAAAAAAATCAATTAAACCATCGATCAGAGCAAACGTATCTGAACGTAAAATCGGGCGTGTTCAAATATAATTACATCGGTATTAGGTTTCCCGATCAATCAGGGTTTTTATGTGTTTTTTCAAGCAACATGCAACACGTAATATTACGCTTGTGATACTACCTTGTGCAAACGTTAAGAACTCGAAGAACGCCGGAGTAAAGTTCATGAACTATGTGCAAATATGGGCAATTTTCACGGAATTACTCCCATGGCAACCGATTGAATATATCGAGTACGAATTATCCAAACTCGTAAATCATTTTATTTAATTTATAGAACTTAATGTCCATTTATTTAAACTAACAGTTCCGAATAGTTTGAGTGTCGTTACTGTACATTTTATAGTTAGTAATAAATGTGTAATTTTAATTTTTGATGTTAGAAAAAATCGTAAAAATATCCTTCGCAATTTAGGCCTATGCTTTATTGCGTTATTTTTACGAATGTATATCTCGCAGTAATTTATAAATATCAGTTTATTACTTGTAATCAACGGTTATTTTTTTATTCATATATACCATTGGATAAGTTGGGTGTATTTGCTTACAAAATGAAGCAAATTTCTCGGAATTCCTGTATTAGTAACGCTAATATGGAAGTACAGTTCTTGTTAAAAAAAATAATAAAAATAAACTCGTAATAAGCGAAAAATTTCGTGCCGTCAGCGTAGACGGAAAACAGAACCGTATAGGTAAGAAATTAACGTTACAAAATAGATAGAATTCCTCATAAGCGTTATCGAACTTCCTCTCGATTACATACGTTATTAATTATCACACGAATCGATCAGTAGAAGGCCAATTTCGGCGGTTATGATTAAGCATCACCGGTTAAATTTAGATAAAAAAAGAGCGAACAATTTTGCGGTTTTCCGTAAGCGAAATTCGTAAACGGAAATAGCTAAAAAAATTACTAGGAATCATAAAAATAAGTATGAAGAATATCACCACAAAGTAACTTAATTTCGAACAATTAATCATCGTCTAAAGTAGAGAAAATTTAGATAAGCGAAAATGGGATATTAGAAAATCAATCTGCAAAAAACCGGAAATTATTTATCATTCTGTAGCTGACAAATGTGTGTTACAACTATTAATATTGTCGATAATATTAAAGAACCGGGTCGAAATATACTAATACATCTTTCACTAAATTACAAGTACCTACAGTATTTTATTGCAAAAATGGCTTCGTTACGTGCAAAAATTTCGCACAAAAAACCAAAAAATTCCACAGTGCAAACGCTAAACAGTAATAATCGTAAAATTCGTTTTCGTAACATCTAAAGCATCCCGAATATTCGCCATAAAAACCCGAACATTTCATCGCTCTTACCCCAATCACTTGAGGTGCAAAATTCTACTCAATACTCAGCAAACTGCACGAGTAATTTAATAAAACGAGATCTTCAACTCAGACGAGAATTTCTCGAAATCCAAACCCCAATGTCAATGTCAATCCCAACCTGCTTCGAACAACATTAAACCCACGCTGAACCCACGCAAGAATTATGCAAATTCACCGTCTAAGTACTTAACCTGGAACAGGACCGGTACTCGCGCGTGGGCCGTTGCATTAGAAACTTTCTTTCGTTATTATCGAATACCCGAATCCAACAGCAAAAGGATGCTTGTCGATTAAATTGCAGCAGCCTTGGGGTACCAAACGTTGACCCACTTAGGGCTACGCCGGTACCATCGGGATGACTAAACTTCATGAATACTAATGCTTGCTTGTTTTAAACTGGATTTTACTTTAAAAGAGCGTTTTATTTTTGCAGGTGAACGCTAAATACAGCGAGGATCTGGCCAAGGAGTGCTTGGAATGGGTGGCTGTGATCACTGGAGATGACCTCAACACTGCCGGGGATATGGACAATTTCTACGAGGTACTCAGAGATGGAACTCTCCTTTGCAAGTAGGTATCTTATAAAATAATTTCCAGTACTATAACGTGCAATTCGAACGAATAAAAAAATACCTATATCGTTTTATTGCAGCATTATGATCGATATAAAGTCATTGACGTTTCTAATCTTATTTTTCTACAGTCGATGTATTTCTTCTTTTCTCGGATTATTCAGTCCTTATCAATTCGAAAAACTGATAGAACCGAATGTAAATAAATTCTGTTATTTGTAGCAAGCCCGAACGATTTGTGTGCGTTATATCGAACGTGTAATTACGTAATTCGATGATTAATCTAACCTTGAGGCCCGATTTCTTGGGTACAATGGTTCCCATTGTGTGCCACTCGAACCCCCGAATTCGTCTTACATAACATTCCGAATTTGAATATCTTATACCTGTTATTTTTATTAGATCATTCTTAAATCTACGAAATTCCTGATGAAATTGTCCAGATCCACTTAAGTCCAGACTGGCGTGACTCACATTTCCTTTTTTAGTCAATAGCTTACTGGTTAAATTTAGAAGTGATATCATCGCTGTATGTGCAATAAACAGTTCAATACTTTAAAATCTTCCGAGTTCAATTACACCGTAACTAGAGTATGTATGTAATGATTGTTTTGATTGTAGATTGGTGAATTCGATCAAACCCAACATGGTGAAGAAGATCAACCACACCACCATGGCGTTTAAATGCATGGAGAACATCAACGCCTTCTTGGAGGCGGCCAAAGAGCTGGGCGTGCCGCCGCAGGAGACCTTCCAAACGGTAGACCTTTGGGAGAGGCAGAACTTGAATTCCGTGGTCATTTGCCTGCAGTCGCTGGGCAGGAAGGTAATGTACCATTAACGCGATGAATCCCTGCGAATGTGATTGATTTCTATGGTCTTTTGCAGGCGGATAAGTACGGCAAACCGCACATAGGACCCAAGGAGGCGGAGAAAAACGAGCGGATGTTCTCCGAAGACAAACTTCGCGCCGGTCAAACCATCATCGGCCTGCAAATGGGTAGCAACAAAGGTGCCAATCAGTCGGGGATCAATTTCGGGAACACAAGACACATGTAGAGTGGTTGTTTAAAAAAATGATATATAAAAATGTGTTTGATGAAGTGCTATTTGTAGAGAAATAACAGATATTTCGTTTGTACTATTACAGTAGTCTTTCTATTTTTTTTTTGTTTAGTTAGAGTTAGAAACCGGTCTTGTACCAATAACATTGCGCGAGGTTCTGTTATTTCGAAGCGACCACTTAAATTAGAAGACTTAAGACTATTATTTATGATATATGATTTGTTAATACATCGAAAATATATTATTACCTAGTGTACTTTTACAAGCTATTTTTTTGATCTATTTTTAAAGTCAGTATTTAAATATTGTTAGGAGAACTTGTTATTTTAAATACTTCCATGAACAATATTTAATAAAATTAAGGACTCGATTTACTTGTTTCATTCCTTATTTATACCATAATTAGATTAATTTTGTACTTACCAAATATGTACACTTATTTTCACTACTCACTAGATCAGGGGAAATCAGTAGGTTCTTTACAGCTGTTATTGAAAAGTTTAAAGTTTAAATAAAATGTCATTTACGTCAATTATTTAACAAAAATATAGCTACCTACAATAAAAAGCATTTTTAGTTATTTGTCCATTCCAAACCAAGGAATCTTGTATCATTACCATCAACCCCAATGTTCCATTAACATCGAAGATGGGAAATATAGATAGTTTTCCATAGCCCAATTTACAAAACAATAACCATTGCGCCCGTGTAACAATAAACCGTAGGTATTTTTACAAAACAAAACCGCGTTTGTGCTATTTCCTCAAACAATGGACCTCGTGGTGTCCCATATCGACCGGAATCGGTAGACAGAGCGCCGCCGCTCATAGAGCGCTTTAGAGTTGGATTAAAGTATTTTCCAGTTACCAGTTACCTCTAAAAACAATCTAAATAAAACCTCCTACATCACATCCTGCTCTATTTCTACGCTTGCAATGGATATATTAAGTTTATTTTATGATAATTAATGTAAATCAAGAGGTTTAGATGATCTTTATGTTGTACTAGCTAGTAAATTTGTACCATAATTTTGGAGTAATCGGGGAATATCGTGGGAAATTTCGAACTAATTCTTGCAAAAACGAAAATAGGAAGTTGTTTTATGAAGAAAAATCGCCGGGGTTCGAACTAGTAACGATGCATCGGCGCGTTATCGTTCCTCATCTCTAGGAACGAGACTCCACGCAAGGGAATTCTTTACTGAAAAGTCCTAGTTTTCAGGTTTCAGGTTTCAGTCGTATCGCGTCCGGGCAGCGGGTAACAACGAAAAGACGGGGCCTGAAAGGCTTACCGCGGCCGCCCCGCCAACATGGGGAATGGCATGAACAAGGCAAGTATATTATAAATATATCTTAGATGTTAATGGAAAATGGTAAAAGAAAACCGATATGTTTGGTTGAATTGGTTGAATAAAATGTTGGGTTGTTTGCTTTGACATAAGGATTGTAGTTTCATTTAGATTAACTGGTTTTTTTATAATATATGCAATATTTACAATAAGTGGTAGTGTTAAGTACTATTTTTCTCTACCTCTAAATTATTAGTTTCTCTAAATTTAATTTACCCAAAACTACGCACTTAATTCTATTAAAATTGAATCTAAAGATTAAAATTTATCAATTAAATATGTAGGTATATAAAACAATTTTTATAAACAATTCAAGTATTCATTTTCCATATAAGAAAGTGTCATTTTAATCGATTTTTCTGTGATATTTTAACTCTAATATTAACCGAGTTCCATTCAATGTCAAGGAAGATCTACCGCATGTAACAATGTTTACTTTCCCGGAGAAAAATCGCATAGCGTGAATTTTCGTTCGGCGTCTATAAATAGATTAAATCGACTTTTGTCACAGGAAAAATAGAAAATTTTCAGAAGCTATAAGATAGTAAACAATACCATTTATAACATAAAATATTGCCCGATATAATTAGCTTGCAAATACACTTTTTATATTAAAATTTAAATGGACCTCTACCCTTTTTTTAAATGGAATAATAAGAGCAAACCTTTTTACTTTAACGCCGCTTTAGTATTTAACAGTTTTTGCGCGGGGTTGCAAGGTGATATTATTGAATAATAAAAGAATTTCCCGTCGACGAGAGTGCTGGTATTTCCCGTGAAATTCAGCACGTTTCTCTCGTAAGCGAGCACTTGTATCGAAATAAAACTTTTTACTAGTTACCTACAAGTCGTCTGGAATAACTGTAGACGTGACGTGCTCGTTTTTCACGCGATTAATTTTACTATTGCGCATCATATTATATTCGTAAGTCTACAGTTGTAAGTATAATCTCATATAGTTAGTGGAATCTGCTCGAGCGTGTTGCAGAAATTGAATAATGAATAGTAATCTCTTGTAATGACTTTAGTGGTATATTCTAGGATTATGCAGGGACGTAATAACGTTTAAATATTTAACAAAAGCCGCAAATTGCCCGGAGAATATTCATATACTGACAAGGCATTTGCGAAATTGAACGCGAATTCGAACGAGGATTTCCTTTGGTAGAAATTTATTAACTAATTTCTATTGCGAGCTTCGTTTACTTTGTTTGCTACACTTTTATTTCGGCGCATTTTCCGATAATTAATTCGATTTTTAAAACTAAAGCTCCCTGGGAAAATGGACATATGAACTAATAAAATAGTGCACAGTAAAAACATCAGTTATTTTTCATTTTCATGCAGGCAACTATTGTTGTTCTATTTTTAATTAATAGAAAATCGTTCCTTTCACTACAAAAGAAAGTCGTTAGTAAAAAAAATTTCATCGCTATAATTTTTTTCGCTGATTCATAAATTTCCTCGGTCAGAATTAATTTTTCGCATGTTGAATTTAATTAAATTGCTTCAAAGCACTCCTTTTTCAACCTTCACAGAGGAAAGGGCAGAAATATAGCAACAGTACATGTTAGCAATAGTACAGGCAATGTTTTTATTATCCAATAAAATAAGTGTAAATCTTTTTATTTTAATTATATTTTCCTTTTCATCTCAGTTACATTGCAAATAGGATAGGATAAAATATCCCAATGCATAAACATGAGTAGGTAATATTGTTATGCAAAGTTCTTTTTACAATTTGAATTTTCTTCGCCCGGGATCCGTATCTATGCGCATAATTTATTACAGGCTTTTTCTATATGCAGCGATAATGAATGTGTAAGCAGGAAATCGTTTGCGCCGGCCATCCCTGTTCAAATTGGACTGTTTCCAGGGAAATTTTACGCCGGGGAGAACTAACTCTTAAATAATGAATGCGAACTACCTATGCATGGAATTCGTTATGACAACGTTCGGACAGTTAACCGGTAATGGCCCGAGGGGGAAACGTATATTTTTTAACCTGATTTACCCTCGGAAATGTCTGCCAAAAATATCACTTACGACTAGAGAGAATAGAAATTTTTTGTGTCATTTCAAACTCGATTTAAAAATTGATAGAAATAGCCTTCAGAAAACCTGACATTTACCACCACTTGTAGGTATTAATAAGGCTCGAAAAGCACATTTTATAATACCCCTTTTCACGACCCACGGAAACCTCATTAATTCAAATTAATCGCGGATTTTCCCGCTTTTCTATACGAAACGGGGTTCCTTGCTCGATGAATAAATAATGCGTAAACGTGTAGGTAAACGACCGGCCATCGAATTGCGGCAATCTAGCGTTGTTTTATTTAATCGAACCCCTATCTGATTGATCTCCGTCAGGTGATTATTTATTTAGATTAATCACAACATTCAGAGGCGTAACTTGATGTCAATTTCAAGGTGTTCTCTTGATAAACATGTTAATAATATTCGTCTCAAATTAGTATCTTTTAGGGCTTGTTACGCACGAACTGTAGTTTTTCTGTTGATAGTAATCTATCAAAGATAAATCTATGTATATTAGCAAGTTCAAGGATTCGGTATTAGGGGGAATTAACCCCAGTATTCTACTTATGAATAATTAGTATAAAGAAGTTTAACGATGATTTGAATATAATGTCTGCTATATTGTTTGCATGGTCAAAAATGTAGAGTATAATTTGGGAAATTCTTTTGGTTTTTGGATCAAGATTAATGGAGGGATGTCATGTTTTTTTTCTAAACCAATACGTTTATACCAAAGATACATTATTAATAAGCCGTTTCAAATTAATATCCTGCATGATACTTTCTAGTTTAATAATATATAAAAATCAATAGGATTAAATAACAGTTTTTCCATATTCGTGACATTGAAACCAACAGTTGGCACAAGCCCGTACTTTCGCTGAAAATCCAGCCGATTCGCCGCAAAAGGGTCAAGGTGTGGATATGTCGGCTGTAGTAGGATGAAAAATCGTTTTCGAGAAGACTAAAATTTCGCCACCGGGACGATTTATCGATTAATTTATGAACCGATATTATTTTTAGCGGATGAGGCGATACATTTTCCTAATCGATTCGTTCCCGCAGGTCCTGCCGGGGCTCTACGTCGGCAACTACAGAGACTCCAAGGATTCTTCGCAGCTCGCGAAGTTCAACATCTCGCATATTTTGGCTATACACGACACGGCTAGACGAATACACTCAGTATGTAGATAACGGGGAATTAAATTCGATTTATTGTTATGGTTTGTTGTTTGCAGGATAAGCACTACCTGTGCGTCATGGCGTCCGATTCTCCAGATCAAAATTTAACTCAGTATTTTTCTTTGTGCAACGATTTTATCCATGCGGCCAGGCTCCGAGATGGAAACGTCCTTATCCATTGGTAATAATCAATTTTTTAGCTCATTTTCTATTCATGAATGCTCGCGAAATATCGATCTTGTTTAATAATAAATCGGGTAATTGTGTTGTACAATTTTTTATATGCTAATCTCTAACCGATGTTTTGCATTCAAAGCGACAATTTTCCGTTGTTGTGAGAATTTAAAATTGAAATTGATTTTATGGTAATGCACAAAACTAATAAAACTTTCGGTTTCTGAATCAAAGCGTGCTCGAAATTTCTAAACAACTCTCGTTAGAAAGAAAAATTGCATTCGGTTCAAAAATCGACCCGGCGATTTTATCACACGATTCGATTTCCTTAGAGCCTTTCGCATCAAAAAATTAAATCAAACTTTCCATCGGAATTTTCAAAGGGTGAAAAATTACATTAAAATTCCTTTCATAAAATAAACCCATTCCAGATAACAAACGGGTGAAATATTTCAGCACACGCCTGAAAATAAATATATATTTTTACCTTCCAGCTTGGCCGGCATGTCACGTAGCGTTACGGTAGCTGTAGCATACATCATGTCGGTGACCAACCTTAATTGGAAAGAGGCTCTAAAAGTAGTTAGAGCGGGAAGGGCAGTAGCCAATCCCAATTTGGGTTTCCAGAAGCAATTAGAAGAATTCGAGTGCACCAGACTAATCGAAGTAAGTGCTAATACTACAGGACTAATAAAAGTGCATCTCCTGTAGAAGTTTGTTAACATTATTAGCCAATCTAATTTTGTTAAAAGATAGCCTTAAATTATTGTGTAGAACTGCAACCAAACCAGGCTCTTATAGATTTTTTTATACTCCTATTTCCTTTGATTTTCCTCTCAATAATCGGTTGTAAAAAGAGTATATTTGAGACCTCTTATACTCTTCTTTAATGTGTTTATAATTTCATATTCTTCCTGCATTTTTGCTATGATTTCGGCATTGGTGATCCTATCTATCCAGGATATCTTTTACTACAGGACTAATAAGTGCATCTCCTATAAGAGTTTGTTAACATTACCACCCAATTTAATTTTATTAGAAGGTAGCCTTAAACTATTGTGTAGAACTGCAACCAAACCAAGCTCTTATAGATTTTTTATACTCCTATTTCCTTTGATTTTCGTCTCAATAATCGGTTGTAAAAAGAGTATATTTGAGACCTCTTATACTCTTCTTTAATGTGTTTATAATTTCATATTCTTCATGCATTTTTGCTATGATGATGATGATATGGTGATCCTATCTATCCAGGTGATCCTATCTATCCTATGGTTTCAAAAGCCTTTAGTTTGATAGATGCAAATTATTTTGTTTAGGAAAGAAGGCGATTGAAGGAACGGTACCCGAGCCTGGCGCTGGTCTACAAGGACCAAGAGCAGTGCGCCTTGATGCTCAACAACTACGAGGAATTGCTGCAATCCCGATCGATATGCGAGGGAAAATGTGCCTTAGGCGAGCCGTGCCCGACGGGCCTGTGCCGGTCGGGCAGCGCCCAGAAGCGCGTCCGGCGCCGCAGCAGCCGCTCGCAATCGGAGATGCGCCGGAGCCCGAGCACGTCGAGCACGTCGAGCTCGTCGAGCTCGCGCCCCAGGTCGAGCCCGTCGGGGTTCCGGGGATGCACCGGTAAAACCTGTGATATATCGCCGTTGGTTTGGTGTACATGTTGGTGAATGCAGGTTCGGCGCCGCCGTCCCGGTCCGGTTCGAGGGTGGATTTGACGTCGCCGGGCACGCTGACGGCGCCGTCGACGCCGTCGGGCAGCCCGCCGGTGTCGCCGAAGCGCCGCGGGACGATCACCGAGCGCATGATCTCCGTGCCGCTGGCTCTTAAAGAAGACGATTTCGACTCATAGCGGCTAATGGAAGGCGGTGGAATTGGGTTTTATGGAGTTATTGGTGTTTGAAAGAGTGTTGGAGATATTGGTAGGGTATGTATTTTTGGGGGTTGGATTTAAAGTCTGTGATTGTGTGAGTGTTCTCGATTGAGGAATTTGTAATTTTTTAAAGCGAATCACAGTAAATTTGTATTTGAATTACGAAAAATGGTATTATACCTACTTATAATAGAAAGCACAAATTTCGAAGCTACTTTATTGAGCAAATAATGAATAAAAATAGGTATTTATATGTATAATGTAGGTAGGTACTACCATTTTTTATAGAAATAATATTTTTTTGGCAAATAATCGTATGAAAATTGTCCAACATTAGTACCTACTCACTTTTTCGAGTAGCATGTAGGAAATTATAAAGTAAGTATAGTAATTAGCTTTGATGAAGCAATTTTTTATAGTAATGTAAAATCGTCAGCTGAATATCCCTCCTTAGCAATAATTAAGCTAACGTAAAATGAATGAATATACGGTAAATAACAAAAAAATTTGGAAATCGCCGGATAAAAACATCAAAAAATTATTATACATTATAAATTACTTGCAACGAATGCAAGTAAGATTGTACAAAATGTACTTAATGTAAAAAAGCATATTTTAAATTACCAAATTTTGCTTTCAGCAATAAGGATATTGATTACTACCCATAATAAATTAGTACAATAAAATTGTCATACGTATGCTCACGAAAAAATGCAGAAAATCCCGCTATTTATAACGCAAAAATGCTTTAAATTTTTATCGAACGGGAACGTTTCGAAAATAGTGTGCTTGAGCAAAATGTACGTGACAGCTTTGAAAACGTGATAAATATTTTAAAAATATATTTTATATATACTAAAAAAACAGCAGAATAGGCACTCTTACCTGCTTGATACATTGGTTTTTTAGTAATACTCGTATATCATACATAAAAAAGTTTTTATCCATTCGATTGGAGCACATTTTAAACACCTATACGTATTTTACACGAAAATGCAACAATCTTCAAAGAAAACTGGTGGATATTCTTTATACCTTTCAAAAGGTATTGAAGAAAAGAATCACAAACGTTTATTCGCCAGTAATTACGCTCAATTAAGGGTATGTAAATACGGAAAAATTAGCATTTTTATACAGTAATATTGTGATAATCATAATTCGAAGTTCGAATCAAAACTAAGGATAACAGAATTTATCGTTAATCCGGTGAGAAAGTGCATATCTTATTACTGTAAGCGGAGATTGAAGTCACCCGATAGGGCCTTAGTTTCGATTGAAAATGAGCGAATTCAAATTAAATGGAACATGAAAATATATCCAACATGCAATCAAAGAGTGATGTTTTCTATTTTGTGTGTTTATATTTTACATTAATGGTTATTATTAATTATTTTATCGGATGAGTTTGCTACATTAGTAGATGCTTTATGGGTGCCATTGGATAAAGATAAGTGATATTTTAATATTTCGGGTGAGAAACCCAAAGAAATCGAATCATTTTTATATTGTGTAAGTAGAAAGTAGGCAATTTGCAGTTAATTGGCTTGAATTGAAATAATAATAACGTCCGATTTGTAAGGGCAAACACCCTGTAAAACGCTTTTAATAAAAATAAGCAAAATTCCACGAGGATTTTTAATGATAAAACCAATATATTTTATAATAGGTAGAACATTAAGCAATAACATATCTAAATTATTAATAAAATGCTCTAACTAAAAGTTAATTAAGTATACGTATTTCCTGATAAATTAATCCTGAAAGCGGAAAAACAGAAACAATTCAGTTAAATAAATTCAGCGACTAATAAACAAAAAAAAATTATTTTTAACAGGTCAACAACCAATTGTTGACTTCATTTCAAATTGTTCCATCCTGTTGCAGTCAAATTAGATGCATTTTAGATCCAAATACATATCATTTCGTTTTCGAATTTTGTCGATGCACTATCAGGATTTATTACCGCCAAAATGGCCCGCAATAAAATGTTTGCGAGGTACATTCGGGCCGAAGGAAATGCACCAAGGTGTACATAGAAATTTACGATAGAGCAAAGTTTTATTAGCAATATTTAGACCGTTCGAAGGCGCTTTGTCGTACAAATATACAAAGTTTTAGAGACCATTATAGCAAATTGTTGATACATAGTATATGTATATTGTTGAAGCCTTGTTCAAAAGTTGAAAATTTTCGCACTAGACGACACTGTTTTTTGTTGAGTATACTCTGGTTGGAAAATAACTGGCAGTGATGCATCTTCAATTTTATGAAAAATGGCTGTTATGGCTTCTCCTGCACCATTTTTCAAAGAATTAAAAAACGAGTCACTGCCAATTAATTTGGAACCGGGGTTTAGGTTGTTTCACTTTGTTGAAATTGTTAAATGTTTGTAACGCAAGTACCTTTACATCCCACAATAAATATATATTTACACAAATGTATATTTTTACGAATGTGTAAATTCGGCCATGCGGGGAGGCATTTGAATGTGAAACCCAATGGAATTTTGTAAATACGCTCAATAATGGCTCTTCGAGTGGTAGATTTACACATTAAAATATCAAAAAATCGAACAGAAACATATTGATTATATTTATATTTTACATGTTAACTTTATTTATCAATACAAAGAATAGAAAAATGCGTTTTCCATTTTTTTCCTTCCACAAGCACTCCACTAATTTCATGTGAATTCAAATAAAAAATCGATCAAACACAAAGATTTTATTTTATAATAAATAGTGATGTAATACTCTCAATAAACTTATGGCACTAGTTTAAGAATACAACTAGAAAATGGTAACTATATTTACGACATAAATATTAAATCTAAGATCATTTTTAATGTTTCTTTACGCGTTTTATTAATTCAAGAAACATTAAATGAAGAGTACGGTATAGAAAAAGTGGCACATAGTTTACAGAAAAATACATGAATTCATCTAAAGACATTTTAACAGTACATAAAGCTGAACAAAATAAAGTTTGAGCTTTGAAAATTTCGTTTAGAAAGAAAATGATTCATAAATAGGCAAATAATTTCTAATAGTTATACATTGTAACTTAAAATCGATAGTTGCTTATAGAGTTGTTCCATACAACCAGCTTCTTATAAATAAATAGCTAATAAGTGAAATCTACAATATTTCTACAGTAAATAAATATGACTTACGACTAGATAATACTCATTACCTATTTAAATATCCATTCATTATTGTCTTAAATACTATTATTATTTCAACATTTAAAGGATGAAAAATTGCAGTAGTTTAAACGATCAAATCCATATTATTGAAATTTTCTGTTACTATTTTTGTATTACTTCTTTTTGGCTTAGTTTCAATTCGACAGGTACGAGCAAAATTAATATTCATTTAATCTAAAATGTACTTTATACTACTAAATACAATATAAAGTACACTTAACCGTATTCCGATTGCACAGAAATGCTGAAATCTCCTCGTTCAATGGTTGTCCCGTGATACCACACTCTCGTATCTACCAACACTAATTAACCAATTAAAATTGAATAATGGAATAATTAAAATTGAATATTCAGGAAGTAATATACACTCACCTGCATCTCCCGGTTCAACAGAGAATTCCAACGATTTGCATACATGTTCGCATTCCGGAGGTGGGTGGAGATACCAATGTTTCGTTCCTTTCAATTGAGCTTGCCACATTAGACGATTAATAAAATCCAGCTGGAATGAATTAAGAGTAGTTTAAAAATATCACGAGGTAATTGACTTACGTGCAATGTGGCTCCATCATCGTATCCCATGAATATGTACTCTTTCGAAGGAATTTCGCTGTCTTCCGGTAGGAAGTGTGGCTTCGGGTAGTGATTTCGCATTTCTTCTAGTACAGTAGGATGGCAATTACCCCTAAAAAATTACATATTTCAAGAATAGAATAAATAATTAATATTTCTACTTACCATCCAACATACCAAGACTTCTCTTTAGGATCATTTAAAGATCTCTCCTTGCTCATCGACAGAACATCTTTGAGAGATATAAAATCAGACTTGAAGTGTAAAAATTGGCATTCTTCGTCTACGCTTCTAATTGAGCCATCTGTTCTATTGTATAGGTCTTGAAAATATTCTAAGGAAAATATACGCATGGCAGGCCAATGTAAAAAGGCCCCTTTTATCACAATCGGTTGAGAACCATAACTGTATGGTGAGAATAATTCTCTAGTTGAATTTGGCAGTACGACAGGTTTCGAAACGTTTACACAAAAGTTGCAATCGGATATGGGTCGAGTTGCTTCCCAGATAAAGTAATTGTTGGGTACAATACATCGAACACCAAAAATATAATTTATTAGAAACGTAATGTAACCTTGTTCAAGTAGCACACTGGTTAATATTATAGCAAAAGATAAAACACTTATTATTTTATATAGTGATAATCCAAACGTGCTGTGTTCCAATTCATTTAGGGAACACCCCAAAGACATGTAAACCTTGTTCAGGTTGCAAAATGATTTTTTCAACTTCGACACATCGTTTCGTTTGGAATTGGGTGTACTCATCTCGAAATATCATTTTGATATGTTTGTCACTGGAAAGGAAGTCCAGTTTATTTCATTAACTTCCTATTAATTTTATTAATTCATTTAGTTAAATGTAATTTGAGAACACCACCGTTTCTAACACATTGTTTTGTATTGTCAATGTCAATGTTCTCAAACTGTCACTGTCAACTGTCAGCGAACATTTGAACTATTTTATTAAAGTGGTCTCTTATCTAATGTTTGACTAGTCGTTTTGATGAATCAAATAGTAATTTTAAATATAATAATCGTCGAGAAATGAGATTCTCGTGAGTTTACAGTTTATTGGATTATCCTTTTAATCGAATTTAGAATAATTTAAAAAGTAATAGTGATAATTCCAGTGTTGCCAAACTGTGAACTAAAAAACAGAATATGGCTACAATGGTGTTTTGATTGTCAAAAAAGGGGTTATGATAATGTTGATGTTTACATTTTTTTTGCAATCCCTTCCATTCTACTTGAACAAATTCAGTAAACGGCATTGAACGTTTACAACATAATAATGTAATTATATAAAAAAACAATCAGTAATGATAAGAATAGATAATTTCCCACTGCGACTGAACGACGTACTCTCAAATCCCAATGTAGATTGTAGCTGACTGTTTAATTGAGAGATGAGTCATTCAATACACACAATGCAGTGCCAAACATTTAAAAAAATCAGTTGTTTGCAGTTTGCACGTTCGCTGACGGTTGTTTTCTTTGTTCCAACGAATATCTGTGATGTTGTTAACGAGTGAAATATTGTAGTAAAAGTTTAACATTGTAAATGAACGTGCCAACTAAGTAGAGTGTAGAATTGTGAAATGGATAATCCACTGCCTTCGCCACGTTCGAAAGAATTGAAAAAGCCTGTCCCGACGCCGAGGAGAAGTATCGCAAAGAATAATTTAGAAAAAATCGCAGAGAACGCATCGAATGCTAAAGAAGAAGATAGGAAAAGCGCTGTCGTGGGCGGCGATGATAATTCTAATCGGATAGATATTCACTATCAAGAAATCCAAGAAAAATGCAGATTAGATAATGCAGACGTAAACACCAATATTGAGGAAAATACAAATAATACATTGACAAAAAGGGTGAGTGCTTTATTTATTTGATTTTGCAACTATTGCGTGGAAAAATGTTTTTTTGCACAGTAGTTATCAGTTACATTCATATTATTTTATTAATATTCTAGGTAAGGTAATAAAGATAAATTACTTGGAGAGAACGTTAATTTTTGTAGATTTGAAATATTTAAATATTTCTCTACTCCTACGCAAAAAACAATTATATTTTGTTTCTACGCATTGCTATTAATTGCGAGTTGTATTCATTCATTATTTCTGGTTCAATTACAGCCGGAATTTAATTAATTTTGTAAATAATTCGTACGCTTAATCAGACACACCTTTGAACTGAATAAATAAAATTATATTCGTTTAACAGTAATTGGGAATCCCAAAATTAAGCTTCCAATATTATCTCGAATTAAATCTAATTTTTATATAATACGGTAGCACCTTCGATGATCTGGAATTTCAAAATGCTTTATTGAATATTAAATTTATACAACTGTACAAAAACTACATCGTGTAGGAACTTATTTAAACCTTCCATTGTTCAGTTGTATTATTGCTTTCTGGTTGCAAACATTAAATCAATGAAGGTATGCAATTTAAAACATAAGGCAACCAATAATCTATCTAATCTATAGTTCTGTGATTTAATTATCTTTGTTCTGTGTTAAGGTAAGTTCCGTATCGAAGAAAGTAGCCGATGACATCCACCAGCTGGTGCAAGACAGGAAAAGGGCCGTCATAGAAGGCACCAGGCAAAGCGTACGAAGGATAACCAGACGCTTCAGCTCCACCTCGCAAGATCAAACCGCCCCCGAAGAAATCGAACAGCCCAAAGGCGACGAGGCCAGCATCAGCCTGTTCAGTTCCATCACCTTCAGCTCCCCCCTATCCCGCACCGAAAACATTTACAACAACGTCGACAGCGAAACGCCGTCCTCGTCGTCCGAAGAAAACCTCATAGGCCTGCCGCCGCCCAGGCACCCGCCCCCGCCGCCACCCGACGAGTCCCTCTACGACGAGCCTCTGTCCTTGTGCTCGAGCAGCAACTCGGGCCATTCGAGCCACTCGAAGGCCAAGCCCGAGAACTACGAAAGCGTGTTTCCCGTTTACTCGGGCGACCACAACGAAAAACCCAAATTCGATGTCGACCGGTCGAACGTCCTATCGAGATCGGATTCGTGGAAGTTCTACGATATCGTATCGCCCAAAGACGAGCGCGTCGCGGATAAGTTCGATGAAAACGAGGAGATCGAGCACGATTCCAACGTGGATGTATCGAGTTCTTCGAGCGTCCGGAGCCTGGACGGGACGCCGAGCCTCAGGAGCAACGCCTACGAGAACCACGAGATCCTGGCGAAGGCGCCGGCGCGGCCGCCGCGGCCCTCCAAGAGCGTCATACTGCAATTCGATCCGCTCAATTCGCCGGAAAAAACCGGTGAGTTGGCCCCCGAAATGATTTCGATTTACGCAAATTCAGCGGGTTTAATTAAATAATTAAGTTCTCGCAATCGATTAAACTGGTTTTGGTGAGTTCACCAGCGAGGGTTCGCGTTTAAATTAACACTTTGTGTTATCTTTGGCTGTATGTTAGATAAGGTTTATCTTTATTTGGTAACGTCTGCGAATAATGATATGAAATTCGTACGAAATAATACATAATTTACGAATATTTTATTACGATTTCCGGTTTATTTTATAATACACTTCGACCTATGAGTTGTGATAATACATTTGAGTCATCGTATTCCAAGCAAACGGCACGTTTAGAATGAACATATTCATCGCATTTTTAATATTAAAACGTTGGTGTTGCAAGAAATAAAAAATATCAAACTCGTTTTGTACTTGGATACTTCGAGAAAGCGTGCCTTAGGATGGAATGCATTCGGCATTGAGATTTTCTTCCTCGTTATTGCAGCACAATGTGCTCGATGAATTGCATTAAGAAAACGGGTCAAATTGCCTGAATTAGATTCTTAAAAGCGTTATCTTGTTGATTCTATTTCGTTCCGTTTTTTCGTTACGGTTTATTGAATAAATTCGCCATAAGATCAATTGATTTTAAATGTTTGCTAATAGAGTTAATTTAGAACGCAATGTTGTTGTTTTGAATTAATCCGAACTTGAGCAATCCTCACAAATTATTATGAGAAATCTCTACAAACAGAAGGAATCTTATATGATACGAAAATAATTATCAGTTTAATATGACTTATTAAATTACTAATGATTATTGCTGTAAACATTTCGAATCTATCGAATTAATAATAGTTATTCTCACAAGCAAATATCGAAATTTTTAACCCATTATTTCACTCATAACATACAGCGTGGCGCAAAAAAATTGTACCTATAACATCGTCTATTCCAGAGTCTCATTCGCCGGGTAAAAACGACATCAAGCTGCTGGAGGAGCTGCTGCAGGGCGACCTCTACGGCAACCTATCTAACGCGCACAGCATCGACGAATGGAGCATCTCCAACGATTCGGAGAGCGAGGACGTGCTGAGCCCGCCGACGCCGCCGATCCGCGTCGACTCGCTTCCCGAAGACGAGCCCCAGGAGCCCGAGAAATCGGCGCCGAAATCCAAGTCGAATTGGTTCTCGGACGTGACGGTGACCCGGCAAAATTCCACGGCGGAGAGCAAGAAAACCAGCTGGTTCAGGCAGGTGAAGGAAGTCCTGGAGAAGGCCCCGGAAGTCGTCAGGGGCATAAAGAACAGGGACAGCGTGGTGGAGAGGGCGGCCATAGGCGTGAACAAGTGCGTGCAAAAGAGAGGCATGCTGTATAAAGTACAAAACGGGCCAGTGGAGGATTTGTTCGGCGAATACAGCGGAAGGTGGTGCATCTTGGAGAATTCTAGTCTGTTGTGTTACTCCGACAATACTTGCCAGCACTTGAAGGAACATTTCCCGGCGCAAAACATCCTCAGCATTCAGCTATTGCAAGATAAGAAATACAACTACAGGTACACATTTAATCGAATACCTACCATTTAATCAGAACTTGTAATTTATAAATCCCATAAAATATAATCGAATTCACTATCACTACCGGCCAGCGAATAAACTTGGGTACGCTAAAAATTCGGAAACAATAGCCAAACAATAATCGCACGCGTGACATATACAGAATGTCTCATCGTGATAAATATATCTCTGCGTTTTAGATACGACAACGATGACTTGTACTGTTTCGAATTAAACACCACGGGTAAGACGCGAGGGGGCCACATCTACGGCACGAGGAACGTCTCCGAGCGCAGAATATGGATCCAATTGATCTCCGAATCGTTGACGAACAGATTCACATCGAAAATCACCACTAACATTTCGAGAATGGGCTGGGCGTACGTCCGAGAAGGTAAAGTCCGCGAGATTGTAGAGTTAGTACTAACGAAAGGATAACATCCCGCAGGCGTGAGCGGCAAATGGACCGGCGCTTGGATCGTGTTGAGCCAGAGAGAATTATCTTACGCTATAGACGGGCAAAACGTGAAGTCTATGGATTTGAGGAAAGCCCGATGCATCGTACTACAACCGTATTTGGATACCGATAATAATCCACGAACTAATGATAAAGGTCCCAATATGCTTATAGATTCTCCGGATGTTGTTGTGTATTTAAGAATGTGGACTTCGAGAGAAACTAAGGTAACTAATACAGACCAATAAATACCCATAAATGTTATTGGTTTTTTTCAGGTTTGGTGTCACATAGTGAAACTCGAAGCGCACAATAACGGAGCCAATTTAGATCAACAGCAGCTCACTAAAAACGATGTTCCTGTAATAGTAGAGAAATGCATCAATTTCATATACGCTCACGGTACGATTTTCATCCGTATAAATCGATTGAGTTAATGCGAACGTTTCGATTCGATTGCAGGCAGCATGACCGAAGGTATCTACCGTAGGCCCGGGCAAGGTTCCTCGGTTTCCGAGCTGCTATCGAAATTTAGGAAAGACGCTTTCGCCGTGCAGTTAACCACAGATCTTTGTAACGAACACGAAGTGGCCACTGCGTTAAAGAGGTTCTTCAGAGACCTGCCGGAGCCACTTTTGGGCGCCAACCAGCGCCAATACCTGTACGAGGTCTCCAGTAAGTTCGTTTATTTGTTCGTTTAAACGCTCGTTAATAAATTACCCGACGTTTAGAACACAACAATCGCGACGAAAAGATTAGAATGTACAAAGCCTCTTTGGATCAGTTGTCCGTTATATCGTATAATACCACGCGAAAGCTAATGGGACATCTTCATTTCATCAGTACTCAAAGTGCCAAAAATTTAATGACCGCCGAGAATCTTGCCAGTATTTGGGGCCCCACGTTGCTACATTACGAAGTAAGCATCAATTCGACATTCACGTATTGTTTTTTTTTTTCTAATTCACAATTATATTTAAGGATCGAGATGTTATACCTAACGTGAATTTCAACCATCAATTAGACACTGAAGTGGTGCACCAATTGATTACATTGTATCGATACATATATCCAGAGGATCCAGGCGAATTGGAAAGGGAAAAGCACATGTTGAAGGTGTTGGAGAAGTACACGAAAGCTCCCCAAGGGAATATATGCAACAAAACGGCCGGTGATTTGCGCATTTGGGTGTACTTGCACAATAAAGAAGGAAAATCGTTCAACGTTTCTGTAAGCATCAAATATCTCGCGGTAATTAAATTTGATCGTTTTGAATCGCTTCCAGATCGGTCCCAATAAAACGGCGTACGATTTATGCAAGGAACTCTGCGATCAAATCAAACTTCCCGTGCACGAGTTGGTCATCGAAGAGATCATTCTCAACGACAAACTAATCAGGCCCGTGCATTATCAGGAGAAGGTAACGATGATTTCTGCTCCTTTATTTTTTTTTTCAAAACTTTTTTCGTCAGCTGCTCGAAGTTGTGTTGAAATGGGGCTATTGGGACGAACAAGACAGGAAAGACAACTATCTCACGTTGGCGCCGCTGTCGAAATATTGGGAATACATATTGGACAAACCCTACCCGGTATCAGGAGAGATGAGATTTGCTGATAGCAAAACGAGACTGTTCAAGCAACACACGTTTCAATTTTCCCAAGGGAAATTGACGTGCTTTAAAGATAAAACCGTGAGTACTTTGTTTGAATGTCTTCGGTCTTACACACAAGTCTGGAAACTCGTCATATTTCATGGTAGTGGGGTTGTTGCGCTTATTATGACTGTGAGTCGAGGGTTAATGAGGAATCCGCTTGGAACGGTAGTGTCGGGTAGGGTTAATTTCGAATTTCTTGTAGTTTTCTTGTAGTATCATCTGCAACACCCCTCTCACAGAAGTTTCCTGACCTGTTATATACGACCGTGCTTCGCAATAATAATTTGACATGTGACATCTGTCATACTTTTTTTTGACATACTGGTTAAATCTGCCATTTTGTTGTTAAGGGCGAGATTATTTTACATTCATGGAACATAGAGGACATAATTTGGTATCTGGGTCACGAATCGAAGAGGAGCCCGATGTCCAGATGGTGTATAACGTTTATAAGCGTTAGTGCCCAGCACGTTAGAACCAAAAGCGCCCCCTATTTTGGATCGGTGCTGGTTTGGAACGACGCAGCAACGAGAGCTAACTGGCTGAGCGCAATGTTAAAGTCCAGGTACCCGAATAACCTCGCACCGCCTCCTAATTTATTGCCTATTTGATAATTAAGTGAACGTCTTCCATTGTACGTGCCTAAAATTTTAACCTAGTGAACATATTTTTTTTACCGATATCGTATTTATATATACAATGTATTTTTTAAGCTGCTATTTTACTATCATATTGATAATCGATTTTATTGAAGATACACTTTGTAATACTTATATATTTTATTGTAATTGCATATTTTTTAATAAAATGTTATTTCGAAAGAATCGATACTGTCCGAAGTAAATAAAAACATTTATTTGAACATGTTAAAATAGATGGTACATTTGAACTACGAAATAAATACCTTAAAATAAAATTGCACTCATGCAATTATGCTTATCTAATCTTTGGAAACCTTAAAACTAGTGCAACAATTTTACCACCCCGAATCGACGTTTACTAAAAATTTGGTTTAAAAAAAAATCCTAATCGAACGTTACCTGCCCGTTTTATGTATATTCAAAGCATTCATAGGCACCCTCGAGTACTCGCACGCGTTCCTGCTGGCCCAATGCAGGTAGAGATAAACGGCCTCCGATATCAAAGCTACACAGCCCGCCGCGCAGGACACCATTATCAAAACGCTCAAAACGTCGCGCACCTCTTTGCAACTCAGGTCCGCGTAGTGGTAACTTTGATCTAATATCGCCTCTTCGGTCGAATTGTACCGGCACAAGCAAGTCGAGTCGATTTTCTCCGGCGGGGCGCACGTCATGCCGAACAACGCCATCAAATGCAACGAAGAAAAGGCTATTATTAGAACACAACTCGCCGCCGCCGCTGCGCTAACTGTTATTGTTATGTACTGAAAATTAATAGGTGATTCGATCAATTCAACGCACGATTGATTACATTAATGAATACGCTACGACACAATCTACAGATCGTGAGGGATAGCTGAAGACGCCTAATCTCTTGCTATGCTCGTCGATCTGTACATTATTAGTGGTGAAAGTGTAGTGTGATTTACCTTTAACGATTTTCTCCAATAACCGAATTTTGCGTCGGAATATCCATCAGGAACGCTGGAGATGAATAAAATTCCAGCGAAACTGGAAACTAATACCTGGAAATGAGTACGTGTATTTGTTTATTTAGTTACAAAAGTAGTTGCTTACTGGTATGCCGCACCATCCTGGATTATCTCTGGATTTTAAATTCGGGGTCCAGAGGAGCAGCCATAAGGATTCTATGCACAATTCCAATCCTACTATCAGTATGATAGCTAGTAGTACTTTGGCTAATTTTCGACAGGGTAAAGCCGTTGACGTCGGTATTGGTACTAAAAAGTACAAGAAAAAGCTTTAACAATCGTGCAATTCTTTTTAACTAATTAATTTCAAGTACGTATCTAAGTAATGAAACACTTTGAAAACCATTTATTTCGTGAGATATATTGTGGTATTTAATTGAATAGGTACTGTAATTTTATATAGCATTGCGTGAAATTGGTCGTATTTCATCGAATGTGTGTCTTTAAGAATTGTTATTAAATGCCGCAATTAGCTAATAGTAATTTATTCTTTATCATTCTGTTTATAGCCTTTGATAAACACAAATAAAATATAATAGATACCTAATGTACTATATACGTCATTAATTATACCTACATTTTTTTAAGTTTGTACGTCTGCTAGAGAAATTTTTAGAACTACTAGTATTTATTTTTGACCTAATATAACGTAATAACTTTATCGATAAATTCTTATATTCTCGGATTTGTTTTACAACAGAAAAGTTTTCCACCGTAAACACATATCGAGCAATCGAAAAGGTTATTCATTAAAAATTGAAGAGGTTGTTAACTCCTCCACGGCACACTTATCTAGCTACGAAAAAGAATCTATATCAATCTATTCGCAAATTAACCAATTATCTTCCTCGAAAAAAAAAAAACTAGAATTGACGTCAATGGTGATTAATTCATCTTATTCGCGGATGTAGCATATACAGAACGTCTCATCATTACTATTAAGTTCCTCGTAAACTTCCCATCGGTTATCGGGAAACCCCGCGTGCAAAACTCACCTTGACCGGACCTGTTCAACGTGATGAGCCTGCTGTGTCGCAGGCTGTTCCTGGTAGGAGTGTGCTTCCCGATGATGTCGTGGGCCATGATGTTCTGCGGCACGGTGGTGTTCAGGAAATTGATTTGCGATCGATTCGCGCCCTCCTCGTCCGACGAATGCAGGATCTGCTCCCGCTCGTCCGCCTCCTTGTTGTCGTAGAAACTGACCGGCCTGATGCCGTCCAGTTCCAAGTCCGCCGGTTGATCAGCCATCGCGCTGGATCGATGGCATTTCTGGAAATGTGTTGCGTTACAAATGAAAACGGAAGAATAATTTGAATTATGTATCGAATAACGATTTTGTAATTTGGCGTTAAGCTGCTCCACTAATGGGCTATCGCGAGAAATGCGGTATGACTGGCTTTCGGATAGGTTTCCTTAATTATCGCTTTCTCTAGCGTTATATTGTTTAAAGAAATTCGTTGTTTTTTTTGAAGGAGATTGCGGTTGAGTCCGATTTGTTTTGACTTCGTTACGTTGCGATTGTTGTAAATCGAAACCGGATTAATGATTTGTACATTCAATAAAATCTGTGATTGCTCTATCAAATCTGCTTGAGGGATAAAAATTTTATATGCAGAATTTTACCTTCTCAGTATTTTACTACCTGTATTTAGGATTCCTTTTTAAATGGTTTAGAAAGTTAGGGACGCTTCATTTGAAATTATCTATAGGTATTAGAGTAGCATTGAACTAAAAATTCAATATATTTTACAGAAAAACAAAGTTTTAATTTGCATATGTTCATGGAAAAAATTATAAATGGAAGTTACGACGACAATTTTCATAAAACTTGTTAGGTACTACCTACTTAATTTTTATGGGAAAAATGATAACGCAACAATATTGTTCGATGATCGAATTCGCCTACGTTTAAAAGGAAGATCCCGTGCAATTTTAATGCACTGATTTTAAAAACGTTTATTAAATTTTAACGAGAATTAGTTTGCGTACATTATTCGCTTATTAATAATTGTTTTTGTACGATTCGAAAAATAAAAAAATTATATTCACGGAATTAAAGAAAATGTTTTAAAAAAATTAGAGAGTTTAGTTACGACACCAACATTGTAGGTGTATACCCTACAGCGAATTAACCATCCTCATTTTATATATAAACAATCATTACAAAAAATATTTACCTTAAAATCGCAATTTCACAATTTGAAACGCCGCATTCGCCGTACTTACTAGCGTGTCGATCACTTCATATTTTTATATCCGTTTCGTAGAAATTTCTACCATCATATAATGATCGTTTCAATGCCGTTTACCAATAGCCGGGTACCTGCCTACCATTACCTGCGAGAATGCACGGTAAACTAAACTTTTGTGCTCGTCGGTGTTCCGCTGGCGTGTTTGTTGTTCATGCCATGTGCTCAAGAGACCTTGTCCACTCGGAAATCGCTGCGGCTCCCGAAGAATCGAGTTCATTCCGCGGCCGATACGCCCATAGGACCTTACATATCTTCGATTTCCTATTGCGTATATCTATTATTGTACATCCTGTCGACTTTTTCGGCTCGAGATGAGGTAAATCACCGTAAAGTGATTGCTCCTTTTTTTCCCAGTTGTAATCTTCTTGCGAGTTATTTTTGTAACTCCCCTAGCGGGCGCTCTTTTTTGTTATTTATTACTTAATTTGTAATTTACTATTAGGGGAAGATAATGCATTCAAAAACTGCTGAATGAAAATGTAAACATATTTCATGGACGCTCATTTGCAATATCCTAGTTAAGATTAATCACTTGACCCGCCAAAAAAAACTTGACCTCCCGATATTTCAATAAAATATTATTTTACGTGTTATTTTAAATAACAACGCGTTATCGTCAACATGACTGCAATTTTGCTGCTCCTCTCCGTTTTTCTTTATTGTACCGTCCAGGTGAGCAATTAATTACAATTATTCTCATTCAAACGACAATTTTTTGTACCTACGGACCGACAGCAATAGCTGCAATCACCGAGTCATACGTACTTGGCTATTCGCATCGATTTGTAGCTACGTTTTATACCTACGGACCGAGAGTAATAGCTGCAACCATCGAGTCATACGTACTTAGCTATACGAATCGATCCGTAGCTGTTTCTGTACTTTTAGGCGGCGCCCCCGAATCACATTACAAGCCCGGAAGACATAAAGGAGGACATAAAGCAGCGCGAGAGGATCGGTTTGGACTGTTTGAAGCAAATAGGCTTGAACAAAACGATAGTAGAGAAGGCGGTACGTTCGATTGAATTCGTCGAAGATCGAAAATACAAGGAGTTTTTGGCGTGCAGCTACAAGCAGCAAGGCTTCCAATCGGACGACGGTGAAATATTGTACGATAATCTCATCGATTACTTGAGCACGTTCTACAAAACGGCCGATTTGAAATCGCTGGACGATTGCAGAGCCGTCGGTGGGTCAACCGATGGCGAAAGGGCGTTTAATTCCATGAAATGCATTATTTCGGGGCTTAGAAAAATAGATCAGAAAAAAGCTTAGGGTAGTGTAAATAAAATTAATGTGCTTTCTAATAAATCTGTATTAACGTTTCGTATTTGTATATTTATCACAGAATTTTATTTAAATGCGATTTTGAATCGTGCTTCACCCTCGATGTGTATATATCGTAACCTAAGGAAACGGTGTTATCGAATAAAACCCTATACTGGCACGGTAGTAAATAGAAGTTGATGAATTGGGCAGGAGGCCAGACCATCCAATCAGCTACATAGAGCCTCATTGACTTCTGTTTGACTTCCTTGATGAATTCCTCCGTACTTGCGCCTTCTAAGTAGCCGACGGTGCCGAAAAATGTCATGATGCAAAGTGGTGATGCTATCAGTTGGTCCAATAATAGTTTCTTCAGGGTAATTTTCAACGTGTAACCGGGTAGAAATACGTCTAAGTACCTGTACCAGTAATGACACACCAAGCCGAGTGTTAGGCCTGATGCACACATGTTCCCGCATCTTCTGTAGCTCATTTTGTCTATTTCTGCACATGATAGCTCGTACTTTTGCTCTATTATATCTCCCAGGCCTGATAGGGAAATTGATAAAGTTAGATTGGTGGCTAACAAATATTTCGTACTGAAGGCGTTTTTGAAGAATTTTCCGAATTTTGGTAATACGTGCGTTTTTAAAACGCGACTAAAAGCGCCACCAAGACTGTGTGACATCTTGCGTTGTTTTTACTTAATTTTGACCATATTTTATTGCCTTGAGTTAGGTTTTATCTAAAATGATTAAATAATTTTAAAGGCATTACATTTTTTTAGGTTACGTCATAAGGAAGTGACATTTAACTTAACCTCAAATAAAAGTCATTTGAATCGTGCCTTGTATGTTGTTTTCAAACAGTTTAAAAAAACGCCTGTGTGTAATTGAATAGGCAACCAATTTTACATTTATACGTGGTATCGCCCAAGACATTGAAGTTAAATTTTAAAATGTCCAATTATTATGCTGGATTTATTTGTAAATTTAAGTATCATGACGAAGAAAAAGGATTTTGAATATTAAAATAAATTAGAATAACATAAGAATACTTGATTTAATCCAGAACAACTAATATAAAAAAAAGAACTATTTTATTTCGATTTAACGTTACATCAAATATTTTTATTTTGAACTCATCATATCCATACTTGTAATATTGACTTATTTCATTCGTCATATATAGAATTTTAATCGAGTCGTTCTAAAATAATTTGGGAAAAAACTACCCGCAATTAATTAAGAGATACCACTACAATAAAATGCGCACAAAATGATTTGATATGTTATATTTGACTTTCTACTCTAGAGCATTTACTTTAATCACAAAAAATATACCTTTAACAATTAATTAATATTATTTAAATTAATTATATGTACATTGAAAAAAAATTAAATGTAATAACGTTTGCTACATTACAATAATTCAGAGAGTGCAACTGTTCGATAAATCGAAAACGATCACTAACTAAAAAAGAAAAATACTACTAGTGTAGAAGTCTGCAAGTAGAAATTTCATCAAAAACTTGGTTACCAAATAAGAGATGAATAAAATTACACTTTACACACAACGGTTTTTTATATTAAAAAAATGTAATGTCAACGTACATGTGCACAAGAAATATAATTTATATCTACTGTAGATCCCTCTAATTGTAAGTCCAATTTTTTTTATCAGGCGTGAATCGTGAAAAGTATTTAATTCTGAATTCATTGCATTTTCAAAGCAATAACCATGAAACATTTTTTCTAAATAGTTACGAAGTCATCCAAAAATGACCAACTGAAAACTAAATGTTAGCCACTAATACACATCGATCACCATTTTGTATAAACTACACTTCATTTTGACGAAGTTCGTTTTTCACGCTGGCCACTTTGCTTCTGACTAAGGTTTTTTTTATTTATTTATTACTCAGTTTTAATTTTCCTAAGCGAAAAGCTAGTAGTACACAAGTCTGGAGTATATTTTCATTCTTACCGTATCTCTTAACACGTCGACTGCAAACCATTCGGTCTTAAACACATTATTAAATTGCGAGAGCAATTTCAATTCTACAACCCTGTAATTAATCATTATTCACTCGTTTTGCGCTCAAAAAAATGTTACTTTTGGAATGATTTGCAGTGAACGCGTTAATTGTTTTTGAATACAAATCCTAATATCAAAATAGGTTTCTTCTAGAGGAGCTAGACGAAAAATATAACTTAATTAATCGAAATAGTTACATTGCCGAATATCTAGCCCCAAGTTGTTTTATTAATAATAACAAGTAGTACCAAAACGAGAAACCTTAAAAAATATTAACACCACAATAAAATAATGTTAAAGACACTTTAATATACAACAGAGAAAATTAAAAATCAAAAGCTCTATTAAAGTATTGTTTTTTTTTTGTTAAATTTCACATATTTGTATTTATCTATTTTTTATATCAAGACTAACAATATAAACATTTGACAATTAGTGTTATTGAAAAATCTGGCATCTACAAGAAAAAAATATATAAATATAATTAAATAATATACATTTAATTTATACAAATAACTAAAGAATATTTTCAAAAAATGTACAAAATAAAAAATAACTTATATACAGATTATCAATATTTTGCCAATATATAATAAGAAAACGCCGCCAGATTCTTCAATAATCCATTGGATTTTCGGTAATAGTAAGAGATTTCTAACATAATTTAAAAACTAACTATTATTAACTTCATTGAATTGGTACCTTTATTCACTACAACAGTCTTGTTGTACAGATTAAGATCCTCTGTGAATTTCTAACATAATGGAACTACAATCGGCAACTTGGAATGAAAACCTAGCAGATGCGACAAAAAAATCGTTTGTAAATTATACATGTTCCTCTTTATCGTGCTCTCACAGTACGTTAACTTTCCTTAAAACGAAATTAATTAGAAATATTCCCGAAATATATATATTCTTTCGATTGCTAACAACCTGGTGTCCCTTACGGTGCATCTACGTCTAATAAGAAAAACCTAATCAACAATCTGCATTGAGATACAAATGAGAAAAAAATCGAAAAAGTGACAAACAAAAAAAGGTTTATCATCCAAGTTGGTAATAGATGTGTCGAGTCGAATCAATCAATTACGTTTCGCATTATTAACGTAATTATTATTGTTCTAATTCATATTATTACCGATATCACATTTCGAATATACACAAAAAAAACTGTCAACATTAAATTGGCGTGTGGTATAAATGAAAGCGTTATAAACGAGAGATCGAACATTTATTAAATGCCCGACTCCGTGTAATAAATGAGCTAAAAAACGAACATACCCCTAACCAACAAACGGTTTTTCTTATATTCATATAGGAAATCGACTGATACTGGTAACAGTAATGGCCGATACAGAATACTAGCGAGACGAATGGAGTAGAATTTGGTTGAAAGGTACGTTTTACATGCGAATTCAAGTCGTTAAATGTCCAATTGTTAATTTCAAGCCAGTTTAATGCGACTCTAGTTAATTAGTTTTTTATGGACACTGTAATAGTAACGTTATTTATACGTAGAGAAAAATCACAATGTTAAAAATGTGCTATCGTCTATTTAAAAACTAAAAAAAGTATATTAGATTAATACGACGAATAAAACGCTAAACAGTATCGATTGTAAATCTATTTCAACACAATAATAACATACTGATGCTATTCGAAGCACTCTAATTATATCTGTATAGACCCATTAAGACTCATCAGCATCGGTCGATCCTAACCCATTACCTCATTTGACGACCGCACTAAAAAATCACAGATGTAGTTCAAAGGTATCCTTGTTTTTCAGCCCACCCTACGCAAACAAGTAAATAAGTTCTGTACAACGCACGTATATTAAATTGATAATAATTTTTTTTCTATAGTACAGCTGTCCTCTCACATACACAATCTCTAAATATGAATGGGCTGCACATAGAGCGCCTGTTTAGGTGAATAGGGGGAGAAAAGGGGGATTGACTAACTAAGCTATACCAGACCCAGCTGCCGCCTGTATGGGAGTAGATGTCGAATCGGTGCTCTCCTGATTCGCTGCCGTAGACGAAGCCGTTGCCTCCTGAGGACTACTCGCGGCCTCCTGGCCCCCTCTCGGCAGCAGTACGAAATTAAGCGATGGTTGAATGTTTAATTCTACAAATACAAAACAAATTATCAATACACAATTCGTTGTGAAATCGTTCGGTGTACTGTACCGTGTTCGGTGAAATTAAACAACGGCGGCAATTCGTTTCCGTTGGGCAAGCGAGTATTTGGTTCCCTTAATTCGTTGAAAAAAGAATGCGCGCAAGCTTGCAGGGGGCTAATTCGCGACGATGGTGTGTATTCTAACAATCGGGCTACCAATTCGATTGCTTCGGGCGGCGTCCGTGCGCGGAATACCTACAAACAATTTCGATCGAATTAAACGAATTCAATTCGTAAAATATACCCTTAAAAACATTCTGTAAATTCGAAGAGTACTCCATTAAATACACCACACAAATGCAATACGGTTATGTTACGAAAGCACATCGAAATACCACAAATAAAAAAAATGTATTAGTCAATATTGAGGGCGGTGCACAACTCTCTTACACGTGAGACTTACACGTATTTTTTGGTGATTTGTGCTGTCAAACGGCATGGCCATTCTTGTCAACATGTACTGCAAAAAACAGATGTAAGTCAGAGAATCAAATAACATTCTTAGCGATGAACACGATTTCGAACAAACCGAATGTTGTACGACCCTCGATTTTACTATACATCTCTATTAGCACTTTCGAAACCTAACCAGTAAATAGGGGTTTATATCGTGGAATTATTTTACAAGAGTTACTCGAGGATTAAAGTCTATATTTGCGAATCGAGCTCATGTCGCGAGCCTTAGTAGATTTATTGTACTCTGGGGGAGGATTAGGGAGAATTACACACAGCTCAATTCGTCGACGTGGAACATTAAACTTTACAGAACGTTTTTAAGTTGCAAAAAAACTGCTTTTGTATATTGCAATATAGTCAATTCTATGAGTTGAACAAAGAAAAATTATTAAAATAATGGTAGTTAGAGTGTGGAAGTTGCAATTCCACACTCTAATTGAAAGTTTGTCTTTGTTGCACCCATAGATCATTTTGGCTCGTATTCAGCGCTCCTTCTTTAACATGACAGTTGTACATTGGTTGTTATGGAGTAACTACGGACATTGTTTACGTTAAAGCGACCCTCTAAAGGCCCTAAAGGCCTCTAAAGGTGTGCTTCAGATTAAAGTGGTGTGCGTTGAATAGGGGGCCCATTGTGTATAATAAAATAAAACGTACCTGTTGCCAAGGATGCGATTTGATTTGCGGAAATTTGAATTCCGTATAATTGGGATTCATCTCTTTAATCTGCTCTTTGGTAGGTGTACCGAGTACCTTGATGATTTCGACCAATTGATCGACGCCGGAATCGCCGGGGAATATGGGCTGGCCGAGGAGCAGCTCGGCCAGGACGCAGCCGGCGCTCCACACGTCGATTTTCGTCGTATAGTCGATGGCGCCGAATATTAATTCCGGCGCGCGATAATAACGGCTGCATATATATGACACGTTCGGTTCGCCTTTGACGAGGTGCTTAGCACTTCCAAAATCACACAATTTTAATACCCCAGTCTCTGGATCTAACAATAAATTTTGCGGCTTTATGTCCCGATGACATATACCTAACGAATGAATATAGGCTAGCGAACGGAACAATTGGTACATATATAACTGAAAATAAAAATATAACGATTTAATAAAAACTACTTTTAATCCACCATTTTTAGCTTCTTTTTTTGTTAAACGACTAATGACACGTGTCAATTCAATCTTCAATCAACAGGATTATTCAACAAACTAGATTAAAAACTCGGTAACAATTGTCAATGTCAAATAACTTCCTTTAGTGTACTGTCATTATCACGATCCTGTATTTTATATTTCTTATTATACGACAGTTGTCATTATGAAGCAAGTTGAAAAACAATATCAATAATATAGCATCTCAAAATTACTTATTTTCAGGCATATTTAACTTTTTTTCAAATAACCAGATGTCACGTTCAATTCAATCAACAGCAAATTATTCAACACACTAGATTAAAAACTCGGTAACAATTGTCAATGTCAAATAACTTCCCTTAGTGTCCTGTCATTATGAAGTAAGTTTTTTAAGAAAAAGATTTATATCGTTAATATAACATCAAAGTACTTTTTTCAAATAACAGATGGCACTTCTCAATTCAATCAACAGCAATTATTCAACAAACTAGATTAAAAACTCAATAACAACGGTCAATGTCAAATAACTTCCTTTGATGACCTGTCATTGCGAAGCTTGTTTAAAAAAAAGAATGGCAAATCGATTTTCTTACCTTTATAAAGCTGATTGGTATCGTTTGCTTCGATTTGCTATAATGCCGAGCAACCTTATACACTGTTTCAGGGATGTATTCCAAAACCAGATTCAGGTACACCTCATCTTTCTAAAATAAATTCAAATAGGTCATCAATTGGGTAATTCCTGTATTATTTCAGTGAAGTATTTTAATTTTACATTACAGAGAGAGTACGAAGGATTTCATTGAGTTAAAAACAAACTGGTATTCTATGACGCTTGTTTGGGTTTTACGGTTAAAATTTGCCGAAAATACGTCTATTTATCAATAAAATTTTTCAAAATATTTTCTACTAGGATTTTTTTTGGGGAAAAATATTTATTAGATACTCTAACACGCAAGAATGAAAAGGAAACTTGACAGCCTCGAAGAATGACTCATGGGAATGTTTCTAACTCAATTATTCATGTTATCGCTTCAGAAATGTGATGTCACTAATTGTATAATTGAAAATCGCAACTTACCTTATCTCCACTAGAGTAAAAGAAATATTTAAGTTTAACTATATTACAATGTTCTAATTTCCTCATAATTTGTAGTTCTCGATTCTGAAACAAAAACCAATATATCGATTATTTCAAATATACATGAATTTCAAACAATTCCCACCTTAAACCTTTTATCCTGCAGGACCTTTTTAATGGCTACCAGCTCAGAAGTATCGCACAATTTGGCCTGATAGACGACTCCAAAGCTACCGTTCCCGATCACTTTGGTATCCGTATAGGAGACTTCCTGGGGCCTATCGGGCCCCTGCCCGGGCGTCGCCACCACTGTGGTCACTTTGCTACCATCCTTACCTGTATAACCGCCGCCAAGAAAGAAAAAATAAGATTATTAGGAACAAAGCTTATCACAAATCGGCGATTAATCAATTAATTAAATCCATTATCGGTTTTCAATTAAACGGCTTAGCTAAATTAACAATCGCTATACGTATATCCGGGAAATTGTACAAATACGTTAATTAAAATCCCTCGTGTGCCGAATAAATTTATCTAAATTTCGAAAGCAAAAATGTAGGTTAATTGACATATTTTTACGCGGTCGTTACGCAAAGGAAAAGTAACAAATCTGGAGTGTTTTATAATGGATTGTACCTCGTAAATAAAGGTGGATAATTAAAACTAATCTACATAAATATTTGCGAATGACATTATCATTTTTTTCTGTTTTACATTCAGCGATAACTGTTTCTAGTTTGCCCGAATGTAATTGAAATAACGATAAACGATAACGTTTTAAATAGTAATTGGAGAATTACGAGTGTTGGGAAAATAAATAAATTAAACGTCCCGTTTTTGTGTACATAATGCAATAATTTCGGACGTGTCAATCAACTTACAGATTTATTTTGGGATAAAACTCTTTTAAATTGCCGCAATAACAAGATGACCGTTCCGTTTCAAGGATAAGCCGGATTGAGATTATCTTATTATGTAACTAGAGGGATTATTGAAAGGCCCAATTTCCAATCAGCTTGTATAGGATCTCAGTGCAGGGAATGGACGAATTAATTTACTTTAGCATAAAATCGAAACGAGGCCTCCGATGAATGAATTATTTTAAAATGTTTAAGGTCTGCCAATTACCTGATTTAATTTTGGCCGTGGAAATATACCTGTCGACATCATCATCGAAAATTTCTTTGCGTTTTTCTTTCGTGACACTTTTCGATGCCATCTACTTGTATTAAAAATTTTGTATCTAAAAATCAGGGGAGCGGCGATTAGAAGGGGGTCCAGAGGAAATGCGTTTTCTTTCTGGTTCCGGTGCGTGGAAAAATCCGACTTTCCCGCTTGACCTCGAAGCGAAACGAGAAATTCTATGAAATTCTTTCTCGTGACTCGTTCGAAGCGATTAGACGAAAAATAGTTACAATATTTATAGGATTTTACGCGTAAAAACCGGCCCTTCGCCGGTCTGTTTTCCAAAACCGGCCGAAAATAGTTTTTTCTATAATTAGCGCCCTCTCACGAACACCAAACGGTGACATCCTTGTGCGTTTCAACTCACTTTCACCTCCCATTCTTGAAATAAGCAGCCAAGATTGTACGCAGTGCAGTAAAAATAAACACGAAAAAAGTAGACCAACATCGAGCGTACTCGAGGAATTTTTTTACAACGCAGATTAATTGCATAAGACGGGACTTTCCTAATGCTACACTCGAATATTATTATTACAAAAATATTATCGCCGAATTGGAGATAAAAACGAGCAATTCATTATCAGTTTTTCGTGAATTGAACGAATTACGAAAATAATCACTTAATTTGAGGTACATAAATTTTGTAGCAGTAATTAAAACTAGAAATTCTTGGATCCTATCTGTCACGATTGGGTATCGATGAGAATGAAATCAGGCCAATGTGACTGGTTAAACTCTTCTCTACGTACGGTTTATTTTTCTTTTGAAATGCAGTTAAAGGAAACTTATTTTTAAACGATGTAAAATTAACCGTCGATTTCGAGCTTTAACTCGACGCAATGAGGTACTTGGGAAATAAAATTTTCTTACCTTTAGCGAAAGATAAGGAAGCAATGAGGGTGTATTTTAAAATGCATTAAATGGTGATATTCTTGAAAATCGGTACGGTAATATTTAGCAGTCACTTATTGAATAAAAGCTCTTGTGTTTTTTTTAGTACATTATTAAATGAAATTGTCAAAATTATTTGAAGTTTTGTTGATTTCGTTCGGCAAAGGTTAATTGAAAACCTCCATATAAAATTCCTAATTAACTTACCACATTAAGGGCAGTGGAGTAGAAGAAAACATCCTTCAAATTTATTATAAGGTTATGGAATATGTATCGGTGTTTACGGTACGCCCAGTATAGAAGAGTTATTTATATCAGGTGGGGAATATTGTAATATTGATTTATTTTAAATATGATTATTTATTCAAGTTCATCCGGTATGTTGGGAACAAACCAACACGTCGAAATGAATATTTAACAAATCGAAAAATGCGAAAATGCCGAACGAATAGAAGCGATCATAATTAATTCGTGACTCACATAATCTACGTAGTTCGCTTTTGTTATTAATAATTAACCGCATTCGTCGGTAATTCGCGAAACAAGAAGGCACCTACTTCCACCTCTATCCGACTGTTTAAAGGATTTCTTGAATTTCCTCCAGTAATAAGCCAATACAGAGTACTTGGTTTCCTGTTTCTGTTCTTTAACGCCGATACCAAGGCTTGACCTCATTAGCGTGCTTCGCTTACAATCTTTATCTAATGGTTTGTTAGATAGATTGTGCATTGATAAGGATTTGGTGATGTTCCATTGGCTGCCCTTTTTCCCATCGTTCGGTGCAACAGTAGTCGGTTTGTCCGGATTGTTGGCCACTTTTTTCATGAAACTAATGTCGTTTTTCGTGAAGTTTCTCACGTCCGTGTATTTCGGCACCATTTTGTCGAAACATATACGCTTTCTACGACGCGTTCGCACGACAACGAACCGGCGTTGAACGGCGGCTGTTCGTCCACGACCGGCCGCAGTTACACTGAATATAATATGGTTACTTAGATAGTAAATAAGATTATGAAAGATTGAAAATTCAAGGTGAGCCCCGACTGGAATCACTTTCAATCCGATTCGAATGCTCCACACCTCCGCTGTTGGTAGAATCCGAAGGCATTGGCGTGCGAACGACAGGGGAGGAGGGCCTTTTAAAAACCGTTCCGCTCGGCGAGCTGCGATTATTAAATGTCGATTGAGGCGCGATTATATCACCAAGGTGAATAGGAAACTCGGATGTGTATCATATGTTTCGTACATTTACGTAATTTTTCTCCCCACTTTTACTCCCTATACAACTTTTTTTGTACCTGTAGTTTACACACAAGTGCCACTTTGTATGCAATATGGGTGCAACAAAAACAACTTCCATTAGTCTCATGTAAAGGAAAAAGAAAACGATTTTGTGGGATTTAAACTTTCTCACTCTTACCCACTGTTATTTTAATAATCTTTCTTAATAATTTTATGTATTATCTGTAGGTATGTTGAAAATATATTTGATTTCGTTTTATTGTAATATGTTAATTATAGGCGGCTTTATTGATGCTTATTTACTACGAATCAATTAATTTTACTCATATAAAGATTAGGCATATGTTTGAATATTTAATTTTAGATTGAATAATTAATATTAATGGGCGGAAATTCCTGTTACAAATAAATCCTATTTTTTAAACATGTAGTGAATTTTCGCAGGTAAGGTTGGAAAATTTCCAAACTGTCATTATACTGTGATATTTAACTGTCATAATCTAGTAGGTCCAAAATTTCATGCGAAATTGCGAATTCTAGAAGGGTATTTTTATAGTTACCTCTGGAAATGACAAATGACATGAAATATTTGTACATTAGCCTTTTATTTATTACTTTATCAAAACATTCGTTACCTGGTTCCTGGCGGTGATTACTATTTATATTTTCACAGTAAAACTGTACCTCATAAAGATAAGTAAGTTTGATTTATTCCTATTGAATTTTTATAAGTAGATGAATAATAATTAATTCTGCCTATTGGTGGATATAATCAATAAATTATCGAATTAATTTTCGTCTGACAGATGGTTTGACGTTTGACAGTTACCACTTTAAATAATATTATAAAGGTTTACCTGCATTGGGGTTGGGAATGATATCGTTGTAGCTGCGCTGTTGATGTTTAAATTTTATTAATAGAAAATTAGAACGAAGCGAAAATAGCCGTAAAACAATCTCTAATTAAAGAGTGAAAAGAAATTTCTTCTTGTACTAATTAGAGCAAAACGCGCAATAGTCGCTTACGGTATATTATGAAGTTTAAAATAAAAATGAAATTAATAGATTTGAATTTGTTAGATGTGGGTGTACATGGCGCCTGAAATTAGCTTGGGGCCTGACCCTTTTAAGCCTGTCAATTAGGGTTAGGGCAGGTGCATTGCAACATCCATATCGTTCCACAGTCGATAGGTAAATGACAAGTGCGTAATGTATCAATTATTATTTCCAACATGCAGCCAACTTAGAAATTGAAAACCGATTGGATTTGTCAGTATCAGGCGACGCGATTTCCGTCGAAAAGCGAATCGGAAAAGTAATATTTCGCAGCCATATTGACTACGCAAGTAATTCCATGAAAGACGTAACGGAGAAGCACACTTACTGCTAATTTTCATTCCTCCCAAAGGGGGATTTAAAGGCTGCTTATTGCCCTCCGCGAAAGAGGTAGTTCTAGGTCGTCCGCTCATTTCTTTTGTCCAACTAATTCGCAATAAATTCGTAAACCTATCACATTTCTTGCTGACACCCTTCTTCCGATCGAGTGATCAGTCCTTTTTCTACACTTCGACAGTCATTTGTTCGATCGAACGGATTTTCAGACGCACGATGTTTATCCCGATACATTCACATTTACAGTTAACGAATTTATACCACTTTTATTCACAATTTCGCCCCGTTAAACCATTTTTTTCATTCCAGTGGGCTTCACCTCTCGATTAATTTTCTGATGCTCGATGCTCAGACATTGACCCGATCGGCCGTTGTCGTGGCCAATCATGTCATAAGTGGACAAGCCGAACTTACCCGAACCGTTTCACTAAGCGCACATTCAATACTCTTTTTGTGACACGTGGCGCTACCTTCAGACTAATTTCACAACCATCTCCGCAACCAATCACCTGATCGTTTAAATTCCCAAATTCTATGATATTGGAATTTGTAATGAAAATAACACGTACTAGTTATTAAATAAATATTTTACGTACTTTAAAACAAAGTTTATAATAAAATAACGACGTTTTTGCGGTTACTACTAGCGCTCTCTTGCGATTTTATATTACACTACGGAAGATATTATGTGAGCAACACATTATTGACTGATGACAAAAGTGTTGCATAACTACAGTGTATACTTACGAGATATTTTTAAAGTGATTTCCAATATAATTCTAAAATTACACCGAGGTGAATTAATAAACAAGGTAAAGTAAATAACAGTTTATTATTTGCAATAAATTATAATTAAAATTAGATACGTTACGATGGCTGGAGTTCTGTTTAGTGTAAGAAAGTAATACTGCGTTTCAAATGATATCTAATATTCCAGGAAATTATTTCTGTTTTTCCATTTTAACACATCTGCATATTTCGTGGTCCCATCTCGTCCCTGTGGTACAGACAAATTCATTTCGACATTTACAAAAGCACTCCTCCTTGCTCCAATAATATTTGTTAATGCCGTTTTTCATTTTCGATAAACACGATCTCTTCTCTTCCTAAAAATGAATAAAAATTCTTTTCTTAGCCACAAAACGAAGCTTATTCTATACCCAAAGGACCTATTTATTAACAGTGACGTCCTTGAGTCCAGCTAATCACAGTGCACGATTGTTGCTAAATCATGTTATTCGACCAATAAGAGCCCTAGAAGGGTCGTGACATCACTGTCAAGAATTTAGGCACTAGAGTATATAGGATAGGTAATTCAATGAAAAAGAATTTCTCACCTCGTTGGTGCATTTGCATTTGCAAAACTTCTTATCGAATGCCTGTTTCTTGTTGCAATCGAACAGCTTTTTATCGCAACCGCACTTGCACTTCACGTCTTCCGGTACTTGTACGACGGAGCATTGTAATCTACCGCTGGAATCGGGAATGGAAACCGATAAGGAGACGTTGGCAGTTTCTGTGGCTATGCAGGAACTGGAACCCGAGCAGAAGCCCGAGCACAATTTGGTGGTCACCTTGCCGGGGATTACCTGAAGACACAGGGATCTTATTTTATACGATAAATTTGTGATGTACTTTGTGCGAACCTTTCGGCCTCTGTATTTGATATCTACGATCGTTTCTCGGGGTTTGCATTTGATTTTTTTGGCCATTTCTTTGATGGTTTTCAACGACTCGCTGGTCGAGCACATATCTGCAAATTCATTAGATTAGACTCGATTGAAGGGTAATTAAAATTTATTCACCGTGATTTGATTCCACCACAACCTCAGGACTCTTTAGGATCGCTTCTAAAAATTAAAAACTGTACAGTTTTGCGAATTTACCAGCACGTGTTAGTACCTTTTTTCTTCAAGTTGCTAAACTCTTTCGTCACCGAGATTTCGCGTTTGTTTTGCGGATTTAAAGCGATCTTTCGCCCGTTGATAAATTCTTTTTTTATGTTGTTGTTTTTGTCCACGCACACCCATTTGCAAGCCCGCGCGTTCTGTACATTGTGAATTAGAGCGAAGAGAAGCAGCAACAAGAACTTCGACATTTTAACACTATATGAACGAATTAACCGCGAATTAGTCTAAACTGACCGCTAAATTTAGAATCGAGAACTTCGCCGTGCGTCACTTGCTGAAATTTATACGTTTTAAAAAGTTTTAACAACGCGATAGATGTTTAGTTAATCCGCATTGCGGTGGTTTTTTGTATCCTCCTCGAGATAAACGCCGAGGCTTTTGATTGACGGATCAAAGTGCGATTGAAAAGTTCTGGAAACCAGAGGTAAGGACAGACAGCAAATGATTTTCACACATTTATTTGAGAAAATGGGGAATTAAGACAACTGATGGTAGGGTATACAGACATAAGAGACAGGATTTTAATATCAGACAAGTATAAAAGGCACCTAAAAGGCATAATCTTACGGGAAAATAAACATATTTAGTTACATATTTAGAAACGAATTTTCTATTACTAATTAAAAAAAATCAACCAAACTAGTGTGCTTCGTACAAGCAAAAACATAATAAATAGAAATAATAACGTTAACTTTGGCTATATTTTAAAATTAACAGAATAGAGCTCTGCGAGCCGGAAAGAATATATTACTCGATAAATTAAAATAAAATTTCAATCGCTTATAGTTACAAAAAAAAACTAGTAATGACTAAAAAAACAATATAAAAATAGTTAGGTACTACGAATTTGTAAAAATAATAGCATTCTTTTTTTCTTTTGTAGGTAATGTCGCAACTACTAAAATGCTTTTTCAAAATTTCGAAATTGTTTTACGCGCGGGAACAAAGCAGAGGATCCGTTAAACAATAGACAATTAAAATTAATTACCTGTTAACTGATTATGACTACAAGTAAATTACGAATTTGCTGTAAAATTGCATATTTTCGAGAAATTTCAGGTAATAAACCCAATTTAGTATTCTTAAAAAATCGCTGTAGATATTGTATGGAGATCTCCACAGCATTGTTCCCTAATATTACATTAGATAAATAATATTTGCTCCTTAGTTACCTAACAAATTGATAAAAATATTTTTTTAATGTTATTAACAATAGTAAAGTGGAATTCGAACTACCATTTAAATCGTATTTAAATGTAAAATGCACTTAAAGTAACTAGGAAAATAAAAAAACAACTAACATTAACTATTCAATATTTTTGTGAACGAATGTTCTAGTAAAAAGTTCTTATTGGAAAAAAACAAGTTATAAGAGAAAATTGTAACTAAACAAAGATAAGTCAGGTCAATATTGAGATTAAAACAATTCTAACTAAAAACAGTAGATTTACAAAACATTAAAAACATCTCTCCCTTTCTATTTCTATTATTCCAAAATCCTTTACAACATGCAATTTTAGAAGACCTGAGCAATAACTAGGAAGCAAATAGTTTTTACAATAATAATATAATAATTATTAAAATATGTAAGAGACGACACAGACGAAAACACAACTACAACTATGGCGTACTGAAAAAACAATGTATAAACGCTTTTCTATAATAAAACGACCTGAATCATTTTTAATAAATTACCCAAAAGTAAATAACGGTTGGCTAAAATTTAGTGTGTTGTATTGAAAATTATTTTGATTGTTTAAATGAAGTTAGTAAATTATTTCCGGTCGTTATTTATGAAAAGATCGGAGACACACCTTTCCCTTTTTTTTCGGTAATTCCCAGTAGCCTACTATGAAAGCACACACCATTTATACCTGCGTAATCTATTGACTATTTATAAATATTTTTTTGTGTTAAATATATAATCTCTATATTCTATACAACATTATTAATAATTTATTTATACAAATGTTCCCTTTACTTTTTTTTCCAACAATATGTATAAGTAGGTATCAAATTTAGTTGACTAAATATGCTTTTTGGGCTTCGGCTCCAAAAGGATTTGTGATATAAAATGTTTAATCTTTTAGAACCTCCGTAGTCTTTTCTGGTTTGAATTATTTTTTTTGATTATTCGAACAATCAATACAACATTCGATACGAATCAGTATCTCAAAAAACCCGAAAAACATAATAAATACAATAAAAATAGAAATTTTCAACAAATAACAGTAATAATTAAATTAAAAAATAATAAAAAAAAACTTAAGTCGGATTTTTCATTATCCGTTTTTGCCTAAAATCATACACTCTACGACAAAAGAATACCATTTCTGGGGATATCTGAGTCATGGGAGGTTGCCGATGAGATCTCGGATACGGTTCCGGATTCGGAATGCACGGTAATGCTTCCTCGATACCTGCTTCCATACGTTTAGTCGTTTTACGGTATCTAAAACACATCAAACACAACAATTATAGTACATTCGCAAAACTTCTTATACTCCCTTCGCCATCATCGGATCGGAGATCATCTCTCGATGGCGAACGGACTATAATGAAACAATGCTTCTATACATTTACCTGCAATACTCGTTAAATGTGAGAACGTAGCATTTATCGTCGATACAAGCCACACTGTTAGAGTCTTTGTGTCGAGACGCAAACACCTCATCTGTCTGATCAGTGGGCAGCCTTCCTTGCTCCGTGTGCTCCGGTCGATAATACCACAATAAAGACATCATCATCTCACCTAAAACGACACGACGGATGAGTATTTACGGATTAGCGTCCGGATAATCCGGTGTTACCGTCGTCGGGGTTTTCCCACAGCGACGCGATTTTCGCCACGAACGGCAAATCGTTCTTCCTCGGACCGGCTTTCAGCAGAACGCAGTCCCTCGGAACGATCTTATCGCCGCCTTGGTGTATCATCGCCGGGTAACATTTCCTCACTACCGTCATTTCGTCGCTCTGAAATACCCGTATTTTTGAGTACCGAGAATAGAGGTACTGTTGCAAGTAAAAGGGCTTCAAATATGGTGGCTTTTGGAGCTGAATTCCTGACAAGTTAAAGGCCTTTAATAGTTCAAATAGATCAATGGAATAATACGACACAAAGAACGTCGAAAGGGAATTTTCGAGTTGAATTCCCGACAAGTTAAGAGACTTAATATTTTAACTGAAATGGATTAGAGTATGGAGAACTTGTGGAATAACATAAAATTAGGATCTTCAAATATGGTGATTTTCGAGTTGAATTTCTGATAAGTTAAGGAGCTTTAATAGTTCAAACGGATCAAAGACCTTACGGAATAATGTGATAATATAAGAACTTCGAAAGGCGATTTTCGAGTTGAACTCCTAACAAGTTAAAGACATTTAATAGTTCAAATGGATCAAAGTAAGGTCTTACGGAATACTATGACGTAAAGAACGTCGAAAGGAGTTTTTCGAGTTGAATTCCTGACAAGTTAAAGGCTGCATACGAATAAAAGTGAGAAGAACTTACATTTAAAAACACCTTGGCTTCGAATGGTTCCCCTTCCCACATCCACCCGTTCGACCACTTGGGCTTGACCGGCTTGGGAACGGGCGTCGCGACGGCCTCGCACGATTTGGACTTCCGACGCGCCGCGACGGCCGTCTTGGCGTCGGCCGTCGCCTTCTCGCGCACGTTCTTCCGCGCACGTTTCGCGCACGCGGCGCTTCTCGCCGCCTGCTTCGTCCTCACCGTATCACTGATAACACTCTCGATGATCCGTTCGACGTTGTTCTTGGCGAAGAGCTTGTCGAGCGCCGCCGGCGCCATCTCGCCCGGCTTGGCGCCGGCCCGCCGCGACGCCGGGTTCTTCAGCTTGGCCTTGTAGGCGCGCGATCGCCGGCGATTCGACGATTTCCGGTGGCTGGCCTCGCGCTTCAGGCGGAGCGCCCTCCTGCTTAGCGGTTTTCGAAGCTTGATTTTGACGCCGGTGGGGGAAGACATGTCGCCGAGGAGTTTCCGCTTGCCGTTGTTGATCCTCACGGTGCTCGTTTCGCGCTTGATCAAGAACTTGTAAGAACCGGTTTTCTGTTTCTTCGTTGGAACTTCGAGATCGGGCGGTTTGTCCGGGCAGATGGAGAGTTTCCTTTTCATGTTTTTAACCTTCACGTTTTCCGCTACCGTGCTGATTATCGGCAGGGATTCTTCAATTTCTTCTTTAAGCGGTTGTTGTTGGCAAATGGTTTTCTCCTCTTTAGGTTCCGTGGAAACTGGTAACTGCGTATTCACGTCCGATATCTCGGATTCCTTACAGGAAGCTTGCAGAGGTTTCGCTTCTTCGCTCTTCTGATCTAAGTCAGTTTCTTTAGGACTCTCGATTTCCCTTTTGACGTAGTCCTGCGGCGGGTTGCACATCAGCAACATGGTGTTCTGTTGCATGTTCGCAGCGATGTTGTTCCTCACCATCGCCTTGCCGATGCGCGCCTTCCGCTTCTTCTCCAATTTGCAATCGGCCTCGCTCACCGGCGACCGCGCCTCCCGCTTCGTCGGCGCCGGCGGCGGCTGGTAGGTGGCGCCGGCCGGCGAGGGCGGCGGCGGCATGCCGGCCGATCCACGGGCCGGGCTCGGCGGGCCGGTCGCGCTGGCCGGCTCCGACGGCAGCACCAGCGCTATCGAGGCCAGCGGCATCGATTCGTTGGAAATGGAAGTGATGTTAGACCTCTTACTATCACCAGTAAGAGGCCCAGTAAGTACGTTTTTTGGACAGGACTGCATTGGACAAGGGCAACTACTTTGATATGTATCTGGAAAAGTTTATTAACTCAATGCTAGAAGTTTCCTAGTAAGCGATTTAGCTAAAGATACTTACTAATATAAGGAATTGTTCTAGTTGGTTGGTGCGTATAACACGAACCAGGCGGGGGATAAGGAGGCGATGGATAAAAATGCGGCGGAGGCGGCGGCGGTTGATAGCTTTCTAATTGACCGGCGTAAGTTTCCATGATGGTTGGAGGCGGCGGCGGGCCGGGAGGCGACGTAAACGATCCACTCGCCGATGTCGGAGGTGCGGCGACCATCTACAAAAGTTTCAGTTAAAAGTAGAGAGAAATTTTATACTAGCATTAGTAACACCAACCTGCTGGCTTTGCTGTGACGGCCCCGCCGGCGATACTGAATAAATTTCCGGCGGATTCGGTACCGGATAATACTGGGTGCCCGCCAGATGCCTCCTAAAATTCCACTTGTGCCCGTACGGGCCTGCCGAATAGCAAAGATCGTGGTGGGAATAGGGCGGATTGGGCGGCGGATGCACGGCTGGATAACTGTAAGGATGAGGATAAGGGTATTGGTAACTAGTATACTGAGGCGGGTAGCGATAGGAAGGCGCCGCGTGCACTTGCGTTGGAATATTATCTTTCGCTGTCGTCACCGATGTGATTATCACCTGTAAAGTTGAATTTATACATTACGGAGAATCCGGTGGATTGTATTTCGAAGTTACCTCGCTATCGGAGGAATCGCCGTTGGAACTAGGCGGAGGCGGCGGCACCTCGTGCGCCAACGACGGCGTCGTCGACGACGCCGGCGACGCGTCCGACAGTGGAATGCTCTTGGTGAGAGGCGGCACGGGCGGAGGCGGCGGCTGGCCGTGCGCGTGCGGCGGCGGTACTGATATCAACGGTCCCGCGGGCTGGTAATATCCTGCTGAATAAAACACACGATTAAAACCTGCCGAAGATGCCGCGAAAAAATTGCATTTTCCGTTGGGAATCCCCGGAAATTTCGATAGACCGAGGTCCGACTGGTGCTGCACTCTACAATCGGCGGCGGGAGTTACTGATTAAATGCCGCGTTGCCGATCGTTTGTTTTGCGAGCGCTTTAGGTTGGCCAGAATGAGATTTTAATAATTCGAAGTGATAACGGTAATCGCGCTGTAATAATTCATGTGGAAATTAAATCGGTTAAAAGGCGTCATTATATGGAGTTTGCGGGATTTCTTTACGCACGTTAATTAGCTAATTAGTGAGTATTTACCGTAAATCGGATCAAAATATCGCAAATTGAATGATATCAAATATATTTTGCACAAATTTATCAGCCGAAATAAACGACAGACAGATCGCATCGAATATATTTATCGTATATTTCTCGCTTTACAATGACGAAAACTTCAGTTATTGGAGCCTAGACCAGGAAACGGAGATTGAGAAAGTAACTCTCTCGTCGGCGGCTCACTAGCTTTCACATTCATGTGAATCAATAAACACTTCGAATTTTTCTTCTCTTTTGATACAGCATGCAGATAAAAAGATTGAACTTTCTTTACGAGTGAGACGAATGGCGCTCGTTTTTTAAGTATTGCGTTATCCAATGAATTAATTGTGAGCTTTATCGAATTTGAATATTATGAAATGTTGCAAATGTACTATTATTGAGTGAGAACAAATTATTTACTAACATAAACGTTTTTAAGATGAGTTCATCATTTAAAATGAAAGATTTATAAATTTTTAGTGTTCACTGGAAAAATAAACTAGCAATTACTAGGAAATGAGTTTATGATGCAACCAAACTAGTCTACCGAATGTAAAATATATAAACGTTTTGGCATTGATAAAGTACGCGCGAATTCGAAGCTCCTCGAGACGACATGAAATTTCTTCTCTCGAAAGAAATTGTGCGAAAAACGCAGGTTAACTCGAACCGCCTTGATTGGCGTTTAATCCGCTCCATAAGCAGTCCTACCGCGCCGACAATTCAACCTTGTTTTCGCGAAACATTCGTAAAACTGCCCGACGACGATTCCTCGCAGGATGCCCGGTCGACAATGAGAACAAGATTTATACCCTTGCCCGCTATTTTTTACGTTCACAAACTTTCACCTCGACCTCTTCGGACCTCGTACACGACGCCGAGCACGTACTCCGTTTTATTTAAACACCTTTTTTTTCGTATAGGCAGACTTTTATTCTAATTCGGGCGAACGAGCCTAGCGAAGCGGGCATAGAGATTGACAATTTTGGCGGATGCGATCGGATTATCGCCAATTTCAGCAATACGGAAGTTCATTAAATAATACCCCGTTTCGCGAATCGCCGTTTAACCGCTCGCTAGAAGAATGATTCGTTTAGCCGATTAAATTTCGAGTTTCGAAGCTCCATTAGGGCCAATTAAAAACTAGGAGAAGCGCCCGATGCACTCGAAGCGATGATGATGTGTGTAAATGAGACGTTGATAGTCGACGAGAGTGCGCCCGTATTGTTGAATAATTGCGTTCTACCCACTATGTAAATAACTCGGCGCCTCATTAAAAATAGAACATCCGACACAAACACTGCGCGACGCTAGTTCCTATAGGTGATATCGGTTTTATTCACGACAAAATATTTATAAAAAAAAAACACGAAGTTCAATTAGCTACCGAGCGACGAGATGGATGTATAAACACGCCTTCGATACACCCACTACTCGAAAAATATTTAGTAGAAGACTACAAATTTGCACCAAAAAACATGGTGCGATAAAAAGTTAGTTCATATAGCTTAATCTTACTAAGGTACTTTCTTTATAAGAGGTAGCAAACAGACGGTATAATAAATTCTTAACGACCTCAAGGAGTAGAGGAAATGCAATGCAAAATAAACCCATTTTAATTTACTGGCAGGTTTTCCTTCGCGAATGCATCGCCCTCGACATCAAAGTCGCGACAATAGGAAATTTCGAGACCTTTCGCGCGGCGAAATTGGCCAATTTTATCGGGGCCGGTTCGCACAGAAGAGCCCGTCGTCTCGAGAAATTTATTATGAATGGAACGCGCGCGAGAAGACGAACGGATCGGGTTGGCGAAAAAGTAAGTTCGAATGTGCAGGCGATGTATAAATAGCGCGTGACCCTGTTAGCGATCTCGCGATTCGAAAGTTTTAAAGTTACGCCCGTTAGTTATTTTGTTAGTTTTCAGTTCTCTCGGTAACAATCAGCATCCTACTTCGTTTTTTATTATTTTACATAAGGTCAAACGGTTGGTTCGTCCGGCGCTCTTCAATTATACGCCAGAATTTTTCTAACAATTGCTCGCCTGAATGAGATAACTCGTGTTATTATAGGTATAATTGTATGAAAATTCAACAGTAAAGCTTTATAAAATTCTATGTAAATCGCGCTTTAAATAATTAAATTGTTTGGATAGGAATATAAATGAGTTTAATAAAACGGCTACGATAAAAATTTCGGCGTGAACATAAATTTATGAAGCCAATAAAATTAATTTTAAACATATTTAAAACGAATTTAACGTAAATTTGCAATTATTTTGATTATTTCATAATGTGTGGATGAAGCGAAAATAAACATTTAGGAAATTTTACTAATAGAAATACAACAAATAATTGTTTTAACAAACTTTTCTACTACTTGTAATATACAGATAAGTACAAATTTGTATGCAATATATTCTCTAAGGGTGCAACAAAGACAACTTCAATTAGTCTCATATAAAAGAAAAAGAGCGATATTCCGGGATTTTAAATCTTTCACTCTAACTACTGTTATTTCATCATCTTCCTTTGTTGAACTCATATTGCAAACAAATTTGCACTTACCCATCATAAAAAAGCATTGGTTACTGTCGGTTTTTCGCATAAATCCACATAGATGAACCGTAATAATATTCGCAATAAATAAACCTTACTGATAACATATCGCGTACCCATCAAGGTTACAAAATCTAAATCTTATCGCGCCATTACGTTCGCTTTTTCAATGAAAAATAACGACAGTAAGGCGATTTTATTCTGTGATTTCGAAATGGTCATTCACAAATTCTACACAAACTTATTTCAGAAAATAAACGATAAAAAAATTGGACAGTTTTAATAACACGTTATCGGCCGTTTTTAAATTTTGAAAGCCAACCAATTATCTGGAAAGGTCAGCTATGAATATCTAGTATCTGTACGTTTTTTTATCGAAACTTTTACACGGATTTAATTCGTCGTCGACACGCCAATATCTTTTAATTGCGCTCAGTCTATCCCGCGAGAGGATTTCTCCGGTATTCAACAGGTCCCCAGTCGCAAGCACTTTTCCAATAAAAATCATATGTGTACCTAACACTCCGCTAAACTACAATAAAAGCTCCAAATCCGTGACATTTTGACAAGAATTGCGACGCGTTTTATGTCAGCAGTATTTATTTAATACATTATTTTTACATCACATTTCGATTAGGTACATTATGAATGAAAATTTCATCGATTTTATCAGGTAGATAAATACATTTACAATTCACTAATGTCAGAGGTCGCAATATCAACGCTGTTAATTGATTTTCGTTTCGCATAACTTACTTTCAATTAAACGTACAAGCAAGTAAAAAAAATCGAACAAAAATGTATACGCTTACAAAAGCGCATTTTTAATATGTAAATTTGGCGTTGGAATCCTTTTAGCAAATATTTATTTTTCGTGCAACTATAAATATTCACGGATCCATTAATTAGTTAAGGTAGGTGCGGGGATTAATTTGGAGTTATAACAACTCGTTTATATTGAGCGTTGAAAAGTCTAGCAAACATTTGGACAGCTTTATATACCTTCTCGACTCTTTAACAGACAGGAAGAGGGGTTGATTTAGTTCAGTGAACAACGGAAAGGAATTAACGAAAAAAAAGTTATCTACATAATAAATAATAGAATTGTAGAAAGATGCATACATTTACAGAAACTCTTTGGCATTGCGCGTCTCGTTAAATCTTTAGAATCGTAACAATGTTTGTGATGTGCTTTTTTTTAAGGATTCAAGAGAGGACATCATTTGGGAAGATCGCGCGAAACAGCAACAAGTTTTCGAACAAACAATGTTCTATTATAAAACTCGTTATTCTTGTAAATATGTAAATGTACCTACTACATAATGCGAGTGATGTTGAAACGTTCTCGATAGGTATATTACAAATGAAAATCGACAATCAATATAACCTCGTTAAGCCGAACAAGAATAATTTTATATAAATGTCAAACCGTCTGGTAGTTAAGTGGTTCACGACAAATTATTGTTATTCCTACCTGTTTTTATACGAAAAACGTCGACTTTATATCTTAAAAGGCGTACGGCCGATTCAATTGAATTCGATTATTGGCTTAAAGCGATGTCGATAATGAGAGCCCATTATTAAATCGACGACTTTTCACAATTACTGTATACCGACCAAGTTTCTGCGCTAAATTAATTTACTTTAACCGATGTTTATTTTTATCCGCGATTTATACTAAATAGATGCTGTGCAGTTTGTAGTAGATTATTTTAATGTTACACGGTAATTAAAAACCGTCTATTACACTGTTTATTTATGCATTTTAATTGCGCGATTATTAAAGCGTAATTATAGGTGATGTCGACTTATTTCGAAGCACTAAAAACCCTTTTGTCAGATTTACTGTTAACTAATCTGATTTCGTAAATACTTTTTAAACTGACAGTATCAAAATCCATTAGGATTGATTTACAAGTGATTTGAAATAAAATACGAGCTTTAGGTTATAATATGAAAATTCATGGTAAGAAAAAATTTTGTGGAAACCCGGCCAAAATTTCGAAATGCTTCAATGATGACCAGAAATGCGTCGCCTGGCTTGTTTTTTAATATAGCGAAATAATTTCGGAATTAATATAGAAGAATAATTATACAAGTGCCACAAAGGGATT